AGTCCAGACTGGACAGCACCCAGAGCAATAAGTGAACTGGGGAAAAAAAGTTAAATGCATCTCCACCTCGACCAATCCAGTCGACAGGCATCCACCACGAGAGCCTTGAGGTTATCTTGAGGTTATCTTGATACGATTTCGGGGCATTAGTGTCCCCGCAGCCCAGTCCTCGACCCAGGCCTCCACCCCGAGGAAGCAGCCCGTAGCAGCTGTCTAACTCCCAGGTACCTATTTACTGCTAGGTAACAGGGGCATCAGAGTGAAAGAAACATTTTGCCCCTTTGTCTCCGCCTCCACCGGGGATCGAACCCGGAACCTCAGGACTACAAATCCGAAGCACTGTCCACCCAACTGTCAGGCGCCCAGCCTTGTGATCATAGAATGAAGCCACTTAGAAGGGAAGGCACCATTTCCACACGAATGTGACGAGGTCCACCCAAGAGCAAATGAATACTCCAAGGAAATGGGATGGAAGAGAGAGAGAACTCATCCACGAGAAATTTGGACACCCTGCACATGAACCGTGCAGAGAACCAAATCCTGAGGAGAACCAAATCCTGAGAAGCCAAAAACACCCACAGAGCAAAGGACATAAGCAAATCCCCCCTTAGCTCAGGCAATGAACCACCGGGAAGCAGTTGAAGTGAAGCCGTGGCCCAGGGCATGTCACACAGCCATAAATTTGCACACTGTGCTGGATGCCCAGAGAAACAGGCCTGACCTCTGACCCTGGGTGATCTGGCGAGTGCTGGTCCCACAGCCTCAACCCAAAGATGAGGCATCCATCAACATATTAAGTGATAGGGAAGGATGGTACCATGGAAATGAATCCCAAAAAGCATGAAGAACAAGCTTGCGAAGCAAAACCTGATGAAGGGCGGGTTGGGGCTCAAACCTGCCAGTCCTGGGAGTGGCAAAACAGGTGAAACTGGAAAAACTGATACAACACATGGAACCAAATCCTGTACAGGGTAAAGACAATGTAGGCAAAGTTCAGGCTCTCACATAACTGCTCGACCAACCAACAAATCACCCGGGGCTGATCCAACTCAAGACTGTGATGAAGTTTTAGGTGGAGCAATGCTACTGGAGGCAGGGAAAGAGAAAACGACCAAGAGTCCCAAATGAGCCCAGCCAAGTTCAAACTTGGGACAAACTTCCAGTTCACCAGGAATCCAAACTTGGTTATTTAGGAAAAATCCAGATCCTTGGCCAGCTACTGGCAGCCCACTTCAGCCAACAGCAAGTGAGGTTCCCACCCAACAACACTACATCTGAAAGGGGACAGAACCCTCAGAAAACAACTGTGTAACAACTTCCTTAGAAAAGAAGACATGAAAAGGGGGAAGCAGCTAAATTTAAAGAACTGGTAAATACAGCCTGTTCACACATGAGGTGGGCTGAATAAAATGTCCCCTCACCTCCCGAAGGAGAGGGATGTGCATCTTGGGCATGGCAGCCAAGACTGGGACTGCAGGCCGCAAGGCATCCACACCCAGAGTAGACTCCAGTGATGCCACATCCTCAGAGTTTCTCAGAGAACCCCTCCATGAAGACCCAAGCACTCAAGACTGCTACCAAATGCAAACACACCCTGTGGTCTTCCGCAATAAGGACTCTGGACAGCATGGACAACTGCACATGGAGCTGCCACTTGCCCATATTTTTGGGAAGTGCAGGAGCAAGTAGATGCAAGGAGCAAAAGAAGCACTAAAATCAGGAATACCTGAATGACAGAGCTCGCCTTCTGACAATTAATTAAGTGTGGGGGGTTCGATAGAACGCCACACACTTGACAGCTTGAGGCTTTGCAGATAGGGGCTTAGCAGGGGTTCTATCAAACTCCTGCCAAGCTCCTAAGAAAAAAAAAGAGAGAGAGATGTCGCCCAGCAAGGATGAATTCAGGACCTCATTCTGTAACCAATAAGCAGAGACAACTTGGACTCAACCTTGTTCAAATACATCAGTGAAAAAGAGAGATCCATGTTGAAGCCTCCAGAAATGTGATGACTATGAAGCACCAAATGGGACCTGGAGTCAAACCTGAGGGAGCAGCCAAACAATCAAACCAGGAGAGAGGATATAAAAAAATTATCCCCATGCAGCAAATAATGTCTATAGAGAAGGCCAAAGTCTACAAAGAATTGAATGAGATGAATGAGAGCCAGATGAGTGCCCACAGGCACTCATCTGGCTCCCTATCAACCTCTGGAAGCCTGCCACAAAAGCTCTGGGGCAGAGCCAAAGTTCTTGCACGAATACTGCAATGGGAAGATGTCCTTTCAAGGAGAAGACTTAAGCAAGGTGAATGGGACAGTTATGAACACGAATTGCCCCAAAATCCCAGCAGGTGCCAGAAGGCTTAACTGCTTCTGCCATCGATGTGGATGGGATCACCACTAGGAAGGCCGAGCTACACCACAAGCTAAACTCTAACCTAACTCCAAAACGCTCAGATGCTCTGAAGCCAAAACCAAGGGGTAAGGGGTAGAGAGAGGGAGGGTGGGGAGAGAGACCAGAAGCAGGACAAATCACACCCTGCAGGGAAAGGAGATCAGGGTGTGGAATAGGTCCAGGTGCAGGTGACCAACACCTCCAAGTCCTGGCCCGTGAATGCCATAGGGGCAAACTCCAGGGCATCCAGTCGATCAATATGATGCTAACGACTAACTCAAGCAACCCTAGCTCAAAGTGGTAGCTGCCAGAAAAGCTTCCAACTGGGAAGAGGAATACGTAAATGCAGAGACCCGGTGAAAACAAACCTTACAAAACTCGCGGTCATAGGTGTCATTGACCCAGCAGGCATCTGGGTCAGGGAGCACAATGATCGTCTGGTAGTTAAAACATTGAGCAAATAACAAACTCCAACTCAACAAGGGTGGACTCGATGGGCCAATCCCTGCAACAGCCTGTTGAACCAAGCTTTCAAGTCAAGCCCGGCCCCAGGTAGAAGAACTCCCAGAACCCCATCCAGGTACAATCCATAACAGACTATGCCAGAGACCCACAGGGAATTCCCAGGGCCTAAAGGTACCCAGCCAAGCAGATATCCTAGGCATTGGGAGGGGGAGGGGGGTCACTCACTGAAAGACCAAATCACCAAGTACAGCCAAAACAAGGAGGCTATGAATAGCGACATCATGACATATAAACAAGCACATGAACCCTAGTGCACCTCCAGAACAACCAAAGAAAGCCCCTGGCCAAAGAACCAAAAGGAAGAATCAAAGATCAGTAATTAGTCCACGGTGAGACTCTCTACCCAGTGTCCAGGCATTTTATGGGTGAACTCTAGAACACACTAAAGATAACCGACATACAATGGGAAGCATTCGCTGGCACCCAGAGATAAAAAAAAATGAAGCCGAGAAGCGCGAAATGCAACAAGAGCCAAGCCCATTTAGCTTGTCCAACATTTAGCTTGAAGTTGCAGGACTTGCCCACAAGTGACAGACCACAACACTACAGGCAGATCCAAATGTTGCCTCATCAGTAATACAAATGAGATGGGGAGCCAGCTGATTGCTGGGGCCAGGCCACCTTGTGGTAGTAATCGGTACTAACAAATTTTGAGCTAGTTCGAGTAAATTCCTTGTTCTGTGTGAATCATTTGCAGAATTGTCTTTTTGTCTTCAAGGTTTCAAGTTGTTTTTTGTGAACCCTCCAGTTGTCTGTAAAGCTTCGCTGAATTTCTATTGATTTTTCCAGTGGGGTGGCAGATTGTCACTCACTCCCTGTGCTTCTGTGAACAGGTTGGGAAGGGAACCAAGTTTTGTCTCTGGTTCCCAGTAGGCCAAACAGAACTTCTGCAATTGATGTGACCTTTTAGTATGGAGCAATTTTAGCAATATAGCTTCAGGAAGCCACTGGAGGGCTCCCTCCAGAAAGAGTAGTAGAGAGATGGAATACACTAAATTAGAGGATAGTATAATGTGCACACCAAATAGATGCTTAAAAATTATATAATATACATTAGAGAAAACAGGACACCAAGAGTATCACACTTATACTTTAACTACACATACTCCCACACCCTACATTTTCCACATTATTCTGTTTGTATTCTGCATTTTTAAAGAATGCGCCATTACCAGGAACATAAGTGCATGTTATATAATGACACGCTATTAAACATCTTGAATAATTTAGCATAGCTCAATCCCTTCATTGAAGTTCATTAACATTCACATCATTCATTTATAATAATAAATGTATCATGCAGAACATCCAAGACAAGCTTGCAAAACTCAGGCTAGCCGTTTAAAACAAGCTGACAAAATTAAGAACTAATGGTTTCTCAACACACACTCGATTTGAAAAAATGGCAGAACATGTGTTAATATTACGTTAACCTCTCGCAATTACCTATGTACATAACCTCACGCAATTACCTATGTACATAACCTCATGCAATAACCTTTGTACATTACCTCACGCAATAACCTTTGTACATTACCTCACGCAATAACCTTTGTACATTACCTCACGCAATAACCTATGTACATTACCTCACGCAATAACCTTTGTACATAAGAATAAAATGATGAAAACTATTATTTGAAAACTAAATTACCCAATTTCAATATCCAAAGAACAAGATTCTTGAGGCCGAGTACCTGTCCTCGTGCATTAAGCACCAGTGTGTGAAGACAACTAGATTATCAAGCAAACAGTTTTGCAACAGCTCAAACTGCAAACCTTTAAATATGACAGATCAATGTTTATTGATCAACTTTTTTTTTCCAAATTGCATAGCATAGTGTTAAACAAGTTTATATTTCTTTATAACTCTGACTAGTTGTTCCTTCTAGAATTTAGAAAGAAAGCCATATAGAAAATCACTAGCATTAAGAGTATTACCAATTTCACATTCTAGTTTGTCTACAACATATTATATGTAATACTGGTACAATCCCCACTTACCTGTACCTGTACTAAGAATAAAATGGAATGGATAATGGATGACATAGCAAGCAGGCACAAACATATCAGCAACTTACCATATGGACCTTCATTGTTCATAAACGGAATCTTCTTTTCTTGTTCTAGGCAAAACATAACAATAGGTAAAATAAACACCATACTCTTCCCGCTGCCAGTGAACGCAATGCCGATCATATCTCTACCCTTCAAAGTTGCTGGGATACCCTGCATCTGTAAAAGTAAATATATTAAGTAAATTTGTATGAATGTGTATTATTAGCCATTTCTAGTTACAGAAAGTAATCTATACTCATGGTATAAAAAAAAATTGTGTGTATTATGAGTAGAAATAAAACTACCAGTAGGTTTGGCATATACATCCCAATCTTCAAATTTATTTTGAACACTAACCATGCCTCTAATTATCAAGGAAAACAGTTTCTATTACCTGGCAACACTATCGTTTACGTACTAGAGTTTTACCAGCATAGCTTCGTGTTCTTGGTTCCTTCAGAACTATTCTGTTTTCTTTGTCACCGTTTAAAAATGTATGTACAGTATAGATAAACTATCACTTTTTTTCCATATCTTCTATGTGGGTATAATAACTAGCATCTTAAATTCTCATCTGTTTACCTGTGGCCAAGTTTTACTATTTTTTTCATAATCTGGCATGGGGCTGGGCTTCCCCGGTACTTGCACAGTTTATGAGGTTATTAGTACAAGTTGCACACAGACCCATATTGTAATGATAAACAGTATCTCAATTTCCCATTTCTGGGTAAGCATCATCAGTGGCTCTTTTACATTTTATCCCCAAACATAAAACAAGAAATGAGCAAAATAAAATGAAGGATAGGACTTACCCATGGCAAAAGAAGCCAGGGAAATCAGCGTCCATGTGAAGAGGGAATGCTAAACGTTGGGAGCGAATCAAGCAGCCCAGTGACACACCATTGACAAGGCAAATAAAGGGCTGGCAGATAAAAATGCCGCCAACACCCAATTCGTCTGCTAGAAGCCCCGGGCTCTGACATTGGCTGTGGACATACAACATTGGAGAAAATTGCTACAAGAGCAATACATTTCCAAACCTGCGTGGGTTTAAGGTAACAAAATGAGGACCAAGCCTCAACAACCTTAACAAAAGCTGCCAACACAAGATCCAAACTAAAAGCAAACAAGAGAGGCTCCACTAAAGCTTAACGACAGAAGAGGTGACAATGTTCGGCATGAATCAACACTCAATAAATATCTACCAAGAGAGGAAGGCCAATATGAACCAATATTGGTTCCAGCAGTATTGCATAAATACTTTACGAGTCACAAATCTCTACCTCTATCACTGTCAATCTGTGCAATTTTACTTTGTGTGGGTTGCAATTGTATGCAATGTTGATATGCAAATGCCTCCACTTGACAGCAAGACAACAAGACTCGACAGCAAAAACGTCCAAGATCCAGAGTGCAATTTACCAATTCTGGATCCAACTGTTGGGAGAGCCTTATCAGTCAACTTTGCCAAAATCTTTAATAACATCACCAATGTATGTACTCTCACAACCAAATGTACTTGTCTATAAATAGGTAAATAAGCAATTAATTGGTCATGGAAGTCCCACAAAGCTAAAGAATGCAATATAGTATAGTGTTCCTTCCCAGGTTCCTCTACATCAATTATTTATATCGAGTATGACTTCAATACAATGGAGCATTGGAATAGTTCACTTGTGACAGTATTTCGAGAAGTTTAGAATGGCATTATTTAGAGGGGGGATCAGTGTAAGCATCAAACATACAAAATAAACGTTTATTCAAAGAACAATTGCTAATACAGAGGGAGCAACTTTACTCTGCTGATTGGTATTATGCAAAGCTAATATTGCATCAGGGAGACTCCTGGCACAATATTAGAGTCAGATTCTCCTCAACAACAGGGAGAATCCTGCATCAGGATTGTGAGCAGAAATGGTAAACAAAATTAGAGTACTTGTTTTAATTGCAGTCTTTCATAATCCATTCACACCTCTTTACACTCGGCTAACATACTACGACAACTCCTCGAGGCAGCTCATATACTGGGCTGGCGTGTGGATCTTGTCGACTTACTTGACTGGAGGTGGTATCATTAACAATATCACAAGTGGTGGCTGGTGATGGGCATATGGTTGGTCGTTTGACACATTCAAGAAACAAAGTTGCAAAAAAAAGTTAGGAAGTATTCTTTTGCAAACAGGGTGGTAGACGGTTGAAACAAGCAGAGTGAGAAGGTGGTGGAGGCCAAAACCATCAGTACTGTAGTTTCAAAGTATTATACCACAAAGAGTACTGGGAAGACGTGACACCAAGATCATAGCTTTCATCCTGTATATACACTTGGGTAATTACATGGTCAGTAGGACAGTGGAACCAGAACTTGGACTTTACCTCTTTACGACACTTGCACTTTGCATAAACTAACCTTACTTTAACTGGTCAGTTTCTCTAATGATCACATACATGAATCATGATGAAAGTCTTCACACAGTTCATTGCATCTGGTTTACCTTCTCGCAGCTTTGATCACTACAAATTGTTTAATATATATTGCACCATGGGATTCCTTGCCACTTCTCGCATTTACTTAATTAACAGTGCAGCTAACTTGACATTACCGACGAACTTAGAAAATGTTAGTATAGCTATATGGCCTGATAGCATATACCAGCACATCTTATGTTGATGAAAGTCCAGGCATAAATACAGGTGCATTGTCGGGATGCACAACACCACTATCTATCCCGGGCTTTGTCTATTGTTTCTCACTAATCAGGAAACTGTTCAACGACGTGGGTAGCTTTCCAATAAGTCGTTAGTCACGTGAGCCTGGCGACATCATGGCAGCATTAGACATATCATAGCCAGCCGAAGTAGCCACAGTTGACCATACCTGAAGTAATCCCTTGGGATCACCTGCAGCAATGTACCACATTTGACAGCTAGCTTGAAACAGAAAGTGAAACTTACTCTTATTCTTGTAAATGCTCATGCAGCATCTCTCTCTGCTAGAACAACTTACATTGCACCTTGCAGCACCAACATACTGCTCAAGCCAAGGGCTCTCATTAGACACCAGACAAATTAGATCTACAGCATTAACAGACAGCAAAATGCTCAACCTGTGCACCGAGTACAATGGGTTAGATTCCATGACTCGCTGTTGCACCACTTGACAGCCATACAATAGTGCAACATAAGCAAGCGATGGAACTCCGAGGCTGCTCTCTCACAACCACCAATAAAACCGAGCATTCAATGTAATGAAATACCTCTTTCTGGTTGAGCCCCTGTGGCTCCCTGTAGCTATCTCATTGAGAATGCTCCATACTATAAGTCACAACAGTAGTGGGAGATCTGTTTGGCCTACCCGAGATCAGAGCCAGAGTCTGGACCCCATCTCAGAGGTGTATAAAGCAAATGACATTCTGCCATTTCACCAGGAAAGCATCTAAAAAGTTAGCAAAGTTTTACAGGCAACTACTGGCTTCACAAGACTCGAAACCTTGACATTGCCAAACTGCCCCAAATAATTCAACCAAAAAGTAATTCACTCTAAACTAGCTACACCTGGAGGTGTAGATAAAGGTTTTGGAGCAGATAAAAACAAAACCCCCCCAACAAACCCGGAAGGGAGGGATGGAGACAAGGAGCCACTGGTCCTCTGACAAATGGCTGTGAAACACATCTTGGGGGCAACATTAGGATCGATGAGAACCAAGGACACTAACTAAATCTCAATTATATATCTGGCTACCATGAGCCTGTTTGACCACCCAAACCCCCAATCATGAATATCTGCCCAAGCCATATTAGAATTGACCGCCACGAGTGGAGCGTAACATCACGGGCTCCGGGGAATAGACCGCTGACTGGCTAGACTTGATAATATTCCAGACATGGTAAGAAATACAAGCCTTAGAAAAGAGGGACCAAGGAGACAGGATTAACCCACAAGGTGCCAGTGCAACAACAGGCCGCACAAAACAACTCAAAAAGCCCACTTATCGTGATATCAGAAGCTAGCAAACCAGGCAAGCCCCCCCCTCTCACTGCCCCGTCAAAGGGGCAAACCACAAAAGGGTAAGTGCAAATTGCGAGGCACTACTGCCTTCAACAAAGAGTAAGCAGAGCACTGACCAGACATAGAAGAACCAGCTAGGGGAAGCACTTATGACACAGAAGCTGTAGGTAGGCCTCCACAGAGTCAGGGACCAAGAGCAACAGAACTACCTACTGACTACTCATAACAGATCTTGCATTGGCAACTAAATTGCAAGTACTACACAAAATTAGGCAAATTTGAGAGAGGGGTCTCCCAAAGAAAGACCCCGAAATGTAGGATCAAGGCCCAAGGAAGGCCAGCCACTTATGTTAAATGGATAGAACTGCTAGATGAATGTGTTAAGGGGCTGGTTGGGACTCTGGGTGACCTAGGCTGCCACCTGGAAGTGGCCAGGAAAGTTATGGTAGGTGTAGTTTGCCTGTCATCAGATGGATTATTTGATTTTCCCAAGCTTTTCTCACAAGAGATGTGGGTTGTTTTATAACACTTTTCTGCTTTCTAGGGAGTTCACTTCAGAAGTGAGCCGATTTGTTATCTCCAGATGCTCTGCCTGCTCTTACGAGAGCAAAATATTGTTGACGCTTGGTCCTGGTAGACTGACAAAGTCTCAGGAGCCACTCATTGAATACTGGCTCTGACATGCTAATGCAGTAAGCTCACAGAACCTATTATAGGAGACAAGTACAGTAAATGTTTACAAAATTAACATTTATTTTTTAACAACTTTTCCAACATTTCAAAGAATAAACCTAGTGGTGTACCTGAATTGGGGAAGGCTTCTCTATTCCCTTTTTCTGGAGTGCTTTAATAACACATCGTGGGAATTTCATATCAGCAAAACTCTTAAGTGGAGGAGGAACGTCTTCTCCTTCTACCATGATCCTGGAAAAAGAATTTGAAACACACCTTAAGAAAAATTTAATCAAAACAAAAATCAAAGAAATTACAGATCAACCATATGTATGAATTGTAATGTACTCCACTCATTCACTCACATCATATTTGTATACGTTTATATATTTATTATATACCTAATAGTCATTTAAGAACATAAGAAATAATGAATGCTTATTAGCTTTTGCATCACAGCTCATATTTATATCCAATTGCTCCCACTCACACACTTGTCCAACCGATGCTTGAAACTTCCCAATGACTGTCCTTCAGTTACTTCTGAACTTGTTCCACAAACTGGCAACCACATTTCAAAGCCAGTGTTTACATATCTATTTTCTGAATTTATATTTATAAACTTTTATTTATATCCCCCCTTTTATTAGCTTATAAAATATTGAAAATATAAATATTATATTTATATTTATAAATTACTGTATATATAAAATTATTTAAAACCCCTTAGTTAAGGTAAAGGACTGAGTTAAAATTCTCAGGCCCTCTCCTCTGGGTTATATCTTGGTAAAAGGTTGTTCAGCAAGCTTATGATATTAATCCTCCAAGAACATCACTTCACTGGCGTGGACCCCAAGTTCACATCAGTGTATACTACACAGAAGCAGAAACCTAGCTACACTATTAAAGCTTCCATTTCTTGTGGACCCAAAGAAGTCATAGTAAACCATAGTAAACTCCATAGACTGACGTGTTGTAGTGGATCCTTCGGGTCATGTGTGGCTGTAAGTGGTGACCAGATATCCGAGGTTTTTGTGCATCACGAGCAATCATTTGGTCTGCATACCAATAGCTTTAAAACAATTGCTCACCAAGTGATTCTTGCTGAATGTATTTCAATGATTCATTCAATGCCTCTCCACCCTCTTCTAATGTATTTACACATGCCTTTTGCAGGCGAGGCTTCATTTCCAGCCTCCATCATTCACGTTAAGGATATTGGCCCATGGCTCTTGTTAAGGCACATACATCATACAGTGCCAAGGAGTTGATAATACTGTAGTTTGATTTGCACTTAGGAGGACAGTCCTCTCATTTATACCTGTTGGGCTGTATCCTGACATGATCAGAGTACTGGTGGTCCCTGTGGCTCAATGGTAAAGCACTCGCCCGGCGCTTCGCGAGTGCTTTGGCCTGTTTACGTATCCTGGCCTGGGAGGATTGACTGGGCACCAATCCTTAACCGTAGCCTCTGTTCACCCAGCAGTTAATGAGTACCTAGTGTGTTAAATGATTTGGCAGTTCATATTCCAGGGAAAAATTATGATTAAGGACCTGCCCAAAACAATATGCATGCTAGTGGCTTTACAAGAATGTAAGAACTCTTGTGTATATAAAAAAATAAAAAACTGCCCATTGCTTGAACAAGAATGAGGGGTAACAAAGGTTTATTGTAATCATTGTTTAATGCAGGGCATGACTAACAACCGAACTTCAGCTGACTTAGAGTTTGGTTCTCCTGGGAATGCAAATTTATGGAGTGTTCAACACCCTGGAGTCTAGACTGTCCAATTTATGCGGCTCCATTCCAAGTCTCCAGTGCATTAACAGAAGACACAATGTGGACAGAGTGGAGTCTGCAGGATGTGCTTTAATTCTCTCTCTCATTGTACTGTCTTGTATATCGGCTCTCAACTTCCTATAGTCCCCTCGTCTGTAATCACTCTCTCTTAGTTTTTTTACTCCTTCATGTGACTCCATTCATCATGTACTAACACAATAATGTTGCTGGCTCAGATGGCTATCCCATAACTTGCGGTTACCTTGTGATTTCGGGGCTCAAGGTCCCTGCGGCCTGGTCCTCGACCAGGCCTATGCTTTATCGTCTTTCAACTGCAGCCTCATTTTAAATCAACACCAGGTCTAGTGTTGCTAGTGTGTCCTCTTCCCTTCCTCTTGTTAGCTCAGAGATATACTGCCACAAGAAATGCTTGCCTGCTGTGTCAGCCAAATTTGTTTCCCATGATTCATCCCCCCAAAGGAGGTCCTTTATTACTCGGTAAAAATCCCTATGATTAAAATTACCAGGTATCTGGATCTTAACTCTCATTATATTTCATATTACCTTTAGGCAGGCCTCAGTGCCTCTATCATTAACCTCCCCAGGCCTTCCTGTGTGTGGTGGGGTTATAAATGACCAATATTGTCAACCACCACTTGTTGTACCTAACTCGATAAACATAAAATGTCATACTGTACTTGTATTTCCTGCGAACTCTTTCGTGGCGCTTGTTGTCCATCGCCAGGACACGTTTGGGAGGATTCCAAGCTGTTACAACTGGATCCTCATACTGTACACCACGGGCCAATTCAGAAACACCCATTAGTGCTCGCTTCTCTGCAACAGCTTCCAAGAGTCGCTTTTCTTCTCGACGCTGTTTCTCCAACTCAGATTCCTTGCGAGCTAAACAGTAACAATACAAAACATTAACCGAGATACTAGTACAGTACTGTATAGACGTGTACTGTACTACCATTTGAAAAATAAAATGGAAAGATTGTAATGTAACAAATTGCATTTCTGTACATTTACATTTTTTTTAATTACAGATTAATGCAAACATTACACCTTGAATTCGAGATATAAAAATAAATTTATTGGAAAAATGTATAAGACTAGACAAGGAGATAACCATTTCTATTAAAGGGGGGGGGGGGGAGGAAACAGGTGATAAGAATTATTTTAGGCTTAGCCTAGTAAAAGTGAATACTAGTACAGTATCTTTTTTCTAGAAGGGCTTCTCTGGTGGCTCCCTGTTGCTAGCAACCTGCATAGCTCCACCTAATTCGAATCTCACCAGGCCCTTTGAGTCGTCCTAAGTCTACAGGGTACTAGTGGCCAAAACCTGGCTCCCTCTACAGAGGCACAGGGAGCCGAGGATACTATATCACACAGATTAAGAAAGTCTGTTGGGAAGGCAGAGTGAAGCAAAACAGACTACAGCAAGGTAAACAAAACACACAAAATGAGACTAAAACAATTCATCCAATAGTTAGGTGGTTAACCCTCTAGTAGTTTACCACCAGGTGGCACCACTCGGTCACCAGCTCACCTCAGACAACTTATCCGTTATTAAGCTTGGTGCAATTGTGCAACACTACTCCCATTTCTCATATCCATCAGTGCACTTCTAGTCATAGTTTTTCAGACAAGTAAACGCCATCCATTGGACTCTGTGCCCTGCAGGGACCCATTTGCTTGTGTACTCATTTGTTCATTTAGCATTTGCTTCACATGCATCTGTTTTTGTTCATCACTTTTTATATGGACTCTGATAAACTGTTCACCTCAAGCTATAGTTTGCCTTCTCTACTTGCTCACCAGCATTGCCCACCATGATAGGGTTGTCTTCCTTGGTGGGTTTGGGTAGCCATTCCTGAGAGGCCATCCTCCTACAGAGAGATCCTCACCCTGAGTAGTGCACAGGTCTTTGACTTTGCTGTGAGGATCTGAGGTTGGGAGTGGTTTGGGTTTTTTTAGGGCATGGATTTTCCCTACACCAAACGCTCAAGTACCATGAAATCAGTAAAGTTTTTAGTAGTTCTTGGGTGGTGGTGCTTTTGTGCCACTCAGAGCTTGCCTGTTTATGCTGTCATTGCATTTTGAGCATAATATGAAGGGCTCATTCGCATTTGGTCACTGGTTTGTGGCAAAATGGAGCTGCAGTGGAGCTGTTCTCTGCCCATCTCCAGGGCAGCCTGGATGCCATGTCTACTGCAGTTGGGCTTATGAGGCACTGCTTAAGTTGTTCGCTCCCCTCCTTCACGAGGCGGTGGCAGGTCTCTATTCTGCCCAATCTGCATGTTGGCTGATTGTTTTGGTTCATTCTCTAGATTCAACTTGGTCCCTTTTGCCCTTCTCCCCCTTTTTGCCCGTTATTTCCTGAGGATGCTGTCTCCTCAGTTCTTTCAGTTGCAGCCATCTCCTGTCAGCATCAGATTTCTCAGGGACTGCAGTGGATATGGTTTTCAACCCTTCCTTTGGTATCATGGATCCAGGGCCTGTAGTAAGAGGACATGGGGGGGGGGGGGATTTAATGAAATATTTGTAACCTGTACATAGTGCTCAACAAGTGAAATGCACCAAAAGAAGTTGTGGAAGCAAAAGCTTCAGTAAGAAAGATACTGGAGTGACATATGGAAGGAAATGCAGCATAGAACCAGTGAAGAGTAGAGGATGCCATGGGTACAATCAGAGAACACTGTCTTAACATTAAGAGGCCACAGCTGTTCAACACCATCCTAGCAAGCATTAGCAAAATTGCCAGAACAAAGGTGGATGTCTTTAAGTGCTTAGACACATTCTTGCAAAATGTGCTGGACCAACCAGGCTGCAGTGGATATGTGGGCCTGCAGGCTGCTCCAAGCAACAGCCTGTTGGATCAGGTTATCACAAGGCGAGCGTGGCTCCAGGCCGGGCTCAGGGAGTAAAAGAACACTACTCTCCAGGTATGTTCCAGGTATACCCCACAGCAGCTCTTTATTAATTGCAGAGTGGTTGTATGCTGCAGCAGTTGAGTTAACCCCCACTCTGCAGCAAGTGTCCAATTCAAAATTTCTAAACACCACAGGGGCCAATGACAGGGCATCCCCAGTGACACCAAGCTGCAAACAACAAATACAGGAAAACCTTTTCTTCAATGAAGCTGTTGCCTAATAAGCCTCGTCCCTTGACAGAGGCTCAACTAGAATGGAGAACCAAGGGTGAAAAGTACAGTGTTACCCCACCCAACAGACAGCATGTTGTGGGTAGTAATAATAACCATTGGTATGTAGGAATGCTAATGGACATCCAACAAACTCGAAACCAGTGAGAATGGGCTCGGTGAGTCGACTCATAATGGACCTCACCAAAACTTGTGGGGGCTTTCCAGAACCTGAAGGTGAAGACCAAGGAGGGATCCCAGGTACCGACGCCACTCTCAATTATGAACAGCAGAAGCAGCCTATAAAATAAGTGGCTGCTAAAAGCACCAGTGGTGTGTGGTAGGAACATCACACACTCTTGTGCACCTCCTCCAAATATAAACCCCAAATGCCATTAACCTCCGAGCCTCGCAGTGGAGTCCCAAAACCCTTGCACTACTCGGGGGAAGGTACCTTCCACAGGAATCCAGCCTGTCAAAGAAGAGCCCTTGAACTCACCAGGGAAGAAACCTTGGCAGGGCAAAACAGCAATGCCAGTGAGCACCTAAGGAAGATAGTCCTAGACTCGTGCAACTCACGTCGAACAGTTACACACAGTAATTTAGGCTGTACAAACACACACTCATAAAGCAAATATTAAATTAAACTCAAAATAAGTATTTGAGGAAATGAACCTCCTCACAGAACAAAGTTCAAAGGATGGCCACCACTTGTTAAGAAAACCAAAACTGGAACCCCAAAGAGTCGAGAATAACTGGAGGAGCAGTCGGAATATGCTGATACCAGGGGATTAGCTGAAGGGGTTTGCTGGTTGGGGCTGGGAGTTTCCAGTGCTGCCACCTGGTGGTGAGCAGCTGCAACTAGAGGGTGAATGACCTAACAACTGGGCGAGTCATTTCCTACTTTGTTTGCACTTGCCTTGTTTTTGTCTGTTTTGATTCACTTTACCTTCCTGGAGGTTAGGGTCCCTGCACTCTGTGCCACTTTGAAGGAGTCAAGTTTTGGCTTCTGGTCTCCAGTAAACTTGTATTACCTTGCAAAGGCCTGATGTTACTCAAAAGACATGGAGCTATCCAGTGCAGCATAAGTACAAGAAGAGGCCCCTTCCAGAAAACAAAAATGTAAAAATTACATTTCTTATGATCACATGCATTGTATTTTCCTTCTACTGTGTATGCTACTTGTTACTCACCTTCAGCAATCTTTTTAAGTTCAGTGTGTTGGTCAAGGAGAGAAATGTTATTCTTGCGGGCCATTTCCTGAACATCCTCCTCCTTGGTCTCTCCATCCTTCTCATGACCACTAACACCACCGCTTTCATCATCATCCTCAACATAGAGAAAAATAGTAACGTTAAGAATATAATGTAAGAATGACTATGGATAAATATTGACACAGTCCTCTTTATTGTAGAAATGTACAGTAGATTTAACTATTACTGTACTAACATTTACTTTTATGAAAAAGGTTTAGGGGCCTAGTTAACTAGACCATCAACCAGGAGGCCTGGTCAGAGACCGGGCTTTGGGGATGTTGGTCCCAGGAACCAACAACAGGTGGTAGGCAAGTAGTAAACAGATATGTGGAGGGGGTAGAAATGGCTAATGTCATGATAGTGCCATTAACCTTGCAACACTTCACATGTTATCTATAATCTATATACAGTATATATAAGAGAGAACACCTGTGTCCGTCTGCCTGCTCGAGGTTGGGGGCTAGATGCATGGGACTAGCCTCACCAAACTTTGCAGGGTGACTGGTCATTGTCCAGTGATGGTTATAAGAGAGTTGGGGTTCAGCCCCCCCCCCCCCCCCCCCCCCCCCCCATGTCCTCTTTCTTCCCTTTGCATGAAATAGTAAATCATACTAATTTCCAGTCTTACTAAAATAACAAAAATGACAGGAAAGTTGTGAAGAATAGAGAAGATGCTGAAGAGTAAAGAAGGTGGCGAGTGGACATCCAAACCACAAATCCAAAAATGAAGAACTGACAATGTTTCGGTCCATCCCGGACCATTATCAAGTTGCATACATGACTGACAAAGGTTCTCAATTCATAATTTTCAGATTTCTGGGTTGGGTATCTAATCTTCAGTCACATTATTGTGACTCATCATCTGCAAGTGGTGAGTGGGAGAAAGGTGAGGGAAGGCGGCAAAGGCGAGGGAAGATGTGATGGTATTCACCTAGTTGTGTTTGCGGGGGTTGAGCCTTGCTCTTTCGGCCCGCCTCTCAACTGTCAATCAACTGTTTACTATTTTTTTTTTCCCCACACCACACACACCCCCCAGGAAGCAGCCCATGACAGCTGACTAACTCCCAGGTACCTATTTACTGCTAGGTAACAGGGGCATTCAGGGTGAAAGAAACTTTGCCCATTTGTTTCTGCCTCGTGTGGGAATCGAACCCGCGCCACAGAATTACGAGTCCTGTGCGCTATCCACCAGGCTATGAGGTCCCCTTGGTGTGTACTTAAGAGTGTTAAAGTAATGAAGATAGTGGGTAAGGATGATTGGTAGTGATGAAGACAGCGAGTAGTGAAGATGTAACCTCCATCATTTGAGTAACAGTGGGCACCCTGTGAACATCAGTCGGAGTCATGAGGAGGACTTGAACCTGCACCCTCGAAACACTATAAGCACTGTAATTTAACCTAGGATTTAAATAAATCCACTAGGGGTTGATACCTGGTTGATGGGGTTCTGAGAGTTGTTCTACTCCCCAAGCCCGGCCCGAAGCCAAGCTTGACTTGTGAGAGTTTGGTCCACCAGGCTCTTGCTTGGAGCGGCCCGTACCAAGCAACAACACATACCCACCACAGCCTGGTTGGTCCGGCACTCCTTGGAGGAAAGAATCTAGTTTCCTCTTTAAGATGTCCACGGTTGTTCCGGCAATATTTCTTATGCTCGCTGGGAGGGTGTTGAACAACTGTGGACCTCTGATGTTTATACAGTGTTCTCTGTGCCTATGGCACCTCTGCTCTTCACTGGTTCTATCCTGCATTTTCTTCCATATCGTTCACTCCAGTACATTGTTATTTTACTGTGTAGATTTGGTACTTGGGCCTCTAGTATCTCCACGTGTACATTATTTGATATCTCTCTCGTCTTCTTTCAAGTAAGTACATTTGGAGGGCTTTGAAACGATCCCTATAATTTAGGTGCTTTATCGCGTCTATGCATGCCGTATATGTTCTCTGTATTCCCTCTATTTCAGCAATCTCTCCTGCTCTGAAGGGGGAAGTGAGTACTGAGCAGTACTCAAGACGGGACAACACAAGTGACTTGAAGAGTACAACCATTGTGATGGAATCCCTGGATTTGAAAGTTCTCGTAATCCATCCGATCATTTTTCTGGCCGACGCAATATTTGCTTGGTTATGCTCCTTAAACATTAGGTCGTCAAACATCATTATTCCCAAATCCTTTACATGCTGTTTTCCGACTATGGGCACATTTGATTGTGTTTTGTACCCTGTATTATGTTTAAGGTCCTCATTTTTACCGTACTCGAGTACCTGGAATTTATCACTGTTAAATATCATGTTATTTTCTGATGCCCAGTCGAAAACTATTGATAATCAGCTTGAGGTTTTTCAATATTAATTAGCAGAGGTAATTTTCATAGTGATTTTTGTGTCATCTGCAAAGGATGATACAAAGCTGTGACTTGTATTTTTGTCTATATCTGATATGAGAATAAAGAAAAGTAGCGTTGCAAGGACTGTACCTTGAGGAACAGAGCTTTTAACTGCGCTTGGACTCGATTTTATATGGTTGACTGTTACTCGCCGTGTCCTGTTTAACAGAAAACCGAGTATCCAGCTTCCTACTTTACCGGTTATTCCTATTGACTTCATTTTGTGTGCTATCACTCCATTGTGTGCTATCACTCCATGATCACATTTATCGAATGCCTTTGCAAAATCCGTATATACCACATCTGCATTCTGTTTTTCTTCAGTGTCTCAGTGATTTTGTCGTAATGGTCAAGTAGCTGGGAGAGGCATGATCTTCCTGTTCTAAATCCATGTTGGCCTGGATTGTGGAGGTCATTGGTCTCCATGAAACTAGTGACCTGACTCCTGATCACTCTCTCAAATAGTTTTATTATGTGGGACGTTAGTGCAACTGGTCTATAATTCTTTGCCAATGCTTTGCTACCTCCCTTGTGTAGAGGGGCTATGTCTGCTGCTTTAAGCCCATCTGGTATCTTCCCTGTGCCCAAGCTCTTCCTCCACACTATACCGAGTGCCTGTGCTACTGGCACTTTGTATTTCTTTATAAATATTGAATTCCATGAGTCTGGACCTGGAGCTGAATGCATGGGCATATTGTCAATTTCTCTTTCAAAATCTGCCACACTCATGTTGATATCAGTTATATTTACAGGGGTTTGGATATCACCCATAAAGAAGTTGTCCGGATCCTCCACTTTCATGCTGTGTATTGGGGTGGTAAGCATGTCCTCATACTGCTTTTTTAGGATTTTGCTAATTTCTTTGTCATCCTCAGTATATGAACCTTCACTAGTACGAATAGGTCCAATACTGGCAGTGGTTTTTGCTTTTGATTTAGCATATGTGAAGAAATATTTTGGGTTTTTCTTTATTTCTTGAATTGCTTTTTGTTCTAGTTGCCTTTCTTCAATCTGATATGAATGCTTCAGTCTCCGTTCGATTTCTTTAATCTCCCTGCTTAAATTATTCCTTCTTTGTATGGAAAGTCGTGTTTGCGTCAGCATTTCCGTTAACTTTTTTCTTCTTTTGTAGTGTCGTCTGTGTTCTCTTTCTATGTTGGACCTATTTCTGGCTTTCCTCAAAGGAACATGTTTCAGACAAACTTCATAGGCTTCAGAAGTCAGTTTTTCTATTCCTTGTGTAAGATTTTTATTACCTAGAACATTTTCCCATTGAATGTTTGTAAGTTCCCTGTTTATTTTCTCCCAGTCTATCCTTTTATTATTAAAATTGAATAGCCCTTCTCGCTTGTTGTTTTTCTTGGTCCTACTACCGTTATTGATGTTAGTTTGCACTTCAATGATCTTGTGGTCCGAGTACATAGTGTCCGAGACAGTAATGTCTCTGATTAGCTCATCATTGTTCGTGAATGAGGTCCAGTTCTCGTTCCTAGTCGGTTCTGTAATCTGCTGACTGAGCGAGAATTTGTCACAGAATCTCAGTAGTTCAGTCCCCAAGGCTAGTAGTTCAGTCCTCTCAGTAGTAGGGTCCCCGAGGCATTGACCTGATACCAAATCAAGGTTTCACACATTACCCACCCACCTACCCCTACCAGCCCTCTTATCCACCTATCTGTCCTGCCCTCTTGCTTAAACCTGACTGCCACCCTCCCTACCCACCTGCCCTCTTGGCCCTCTCTCATCACTTTGCCTTTTGGCTGCCCACCCACCTGCCCTCGTGCCCCCCCCCCCCTTGGCCACCCCACCTCCCCCCCCTGGCCACCCCCCCACCCGACCCCCCCCTAGTCACCCACCTGCCCTCTGGCTGAGGTAAGAGTCTGAAAAGATTGTTGTGACAGGCCTCTGAGGGAAGAGCTGAGGTTATAATATCTGCCTGGACATTGATTTATTGTTCGTGTTAAAGAATGTATTTTTTGTAGCATAAAAGAATTTTTATATAAAGTATTATTTTTATTACAGTATTATTAATTGTATATCCAGTTCTGTAAAAGATAATCTACAGCATTAAGCTTTGTAAAGTATGTAGCGAGTAATTTTGAATAAATACTCAAATAGTTTGTGGAGTCTTCAAGTTATGGCACAATTTTAGGGTGCACTATGCAATCAGGTTCCAAGTCATTTTAGCCTGAATTATGTCCAAAACTCATCTTGCATCTTATAGTTAGGATGCCTTAAACTTGGACAAATTTTATACAGCTTTGCATGCACTTGTTTTAAAATTTATAAGTTACCCACCTGTGAGATTTTTAGTATCTGCTTTAGCTTTTGCTTCTTACGCTCCCTGACTGGAACATAAGGCTCATAATCATCTTCCTCATCACTGGACTTTGGGTCTTCACGCCTATACCTCTGGAAATACAAGAAAACAGTCCTTTAAAAATGAATGAATGAAATGCCTCTTCCAGTGGTTCCCTGTAGCTATCTATCCGAGATTGCCCAATACTACAAAGTCATATCAATTGCGGAAGGTCTGTTTGCCTTATCAAGGACCAGAGCCAGAACCAGACATACCCCTCAAAGAGGGACAGAGAACAAATGAGATTCCGCCATTTCACCAGGAAATCATCCAGAAAGACAGCGAAACTTTACAGATAACTGCTGGGATCACAAGAACCGAAGCCTCATAACTGCCAAACAACTAACCAAACAATTCAATCGAAACAAAATAATTCTCTCTTAACTAACTCGAGCCCATTAGTACCAATCGTTGCCACAAACTGGCCCACAGCTTGGCCCTCTGCCAACTCGCCATTTATTTCTGGAGCAGAAAAAGACCATCCCAATGAACCAATGAGACTGGAAAGAAGGGAAGGAGACAGGAAGCCACCAGGGCTCTACCAGAGGTCATTCATTCATTGGCCCCCCCCCCCTCAAGTAGCTAAATAAATTAAGTTAAAGAATTCTAACAGAGAGAGAGAGATCTTGGGGTGATTCTAGATAGCAGAATGTCACCAGAGGAACACACAAAGGACATTGTGTGAGGAGCATGTGCTGCTCTTTCCAACTTCAGAATCCCTTTTAATTACATGGATGTTGAAATACTAAAGAAACTGTTCATGACTTGCAAGACCAAAATTGGAAAATGCAGTAGTTGCACTTACAAAAAAATAACAGGAATCGACCAAATTGACAAAGAGGAATTCCTCAAATCAGCAACTTCAAGAACAAAAGGACACAGATTCAAGCTAATGAAACAAAGGTTCCGAAAAAGTTTTCTTTTGCAAACAGTGGTAGACGGTTGGAATAAGTCAAGTGAGAAGGTGTAGGACAAAACAGTCAGTAGTTTCAAAGCGTTATATGACAGTTCTGGGAAGATGGGACACCACGAGCATAGCTCGTGGTGTCCTGTAACTACATGTTGCGTGCAATTACCTAAGTAATTACCACACACAAATACCGCATCTGAGAGAGAAAATCGTGCTTAACAAACTTTTATTGAATTCGATGACAGTCACCAAAATAAGACATGAAAAAAGAAGGATGGGTAGACTGCAGGATAGGTAGATTGCATATTTCTTGACTGTCAAAATGCTTTTGATAGTTTCTCAAAAAACTAACACACAAGAGAGAGGTATGCAGGAATAACAGAAAAGACACTGGACTGGGTACAGGAGTACTGTACTTGATAGACAGGAAACAAAGTAAATGACCTCGCAGAGGGAGCGAGCTCATGTCAATGTCAATGTTTGCAGATGATGCAAAATTCAAGAGGAGAATAAACTGAAGAGGACTGTAGGGTACTGCTAGAAAACCTCGACAAACTTCAAGAGTGGGATGATAAACGGTTCCTGGAATTCAAATCTAAGCAAGTGTCAGGTAAAGAAAAAATTGATAGGGGAAATAGGAGACAAATTTAACTGCATTATAAGGGGAAGACAATTAGAAGGAACATTAAGAGAAAAAGATCTGGGAGTAGACATACAGTAATCCCAACACTAATATCAGAAGTTCATGTAAACAGGATAGCATCAGAATATGCAAAGTTATTAGAAACATAAGAAAGCCATTTAACAATCTAAACAAGGATGCTTTTACAGCCACACACACTACCTATGCGAGACCATTACAAGTACTTGATTATGTAGCACCAGCATGGAACTCACACCTTGTGATGAATAAACAAAAACTTGAGAAAATTAAGAGCTATAAGGAAAGATTGAAAGAATTCATCCTCACAACCTTAGAATAGAGAAGAAACAGAGGTACAGATATAAGATCTTGAGAGGGAATAGACAAAGAAAGCCTAATTAGATTAAAAAGAGGTAGGACAAGGGGACATCAGTGGAGGCTGGATACACACAGAGTTGGAGATGTAAATAAGTTCTTTCCCTGTACTGTGGTCGGCAAGTGGAATGCATTAAAGGAAGAGGCTGTTGAAGCCCATTCCGTCCACAACTTAAAGAAAAGTAATTAGCACGTCAAGTATAAATGGTTACGAGGTGGGACATAAAGAGCGAGTCACTGATAGGTAAGAAATGACCATAAGCACTAACAATCCAGAAGCCAAGTAAATTTTGCCAATATTTGCATCAACTCAAGAAGGATATTATCCAAAATTTGATCGAGACATAATGGGGAAAGATTCTAGACTACTATACATAACTCAAAAGATAAAATGATTTATGTGAAGAATACAATATGCTTAACTGGAAACCTGAATTTGAAACCATGGCACATAATGATCTCTCAACAAATTATTCAACAATGCTATTAAATAAGTAACCAATCTGTTTACTGGCCCAAAGACATTGGGTCTCCTGTTGAAGCAGCAGTTTCTCAGGCTATGTAAGACAAGATAAGATTTAGTTTGCTCAATAATCATGAATTTCTGCAGTAAACACCATACAGTATGTCATTCATATACGACAGGAACACAGAAATGAACACTTAGACGTCAAATATACGACCTCGGTAACACAGGTCACGATAAAATATATATTTTCTATTACTGTTACTAATTTCATGCTAGTGAGAATGACACCAGCATCCATATTTACAGTACCGCACAGTACAAGGAATAGCATATACTTAAGAATCATTGCTGAATTCAATATAGCGTTTACAAACTTACCCTGGGTTTTAGGTACTGTATCTAGGTAAATCGCACATTATGAACTAAGATTTGCTTTATTCGAGCAAGACAGTGCACTATTTCCTTGTACAGTGTACATGTATATTTATATTAATTATTACTCAAATTCTATCTTCTAATACTGTATTTTTTTATAAAATATTTACCTTTACTCTTTTGGGGCTGGTGGAATCCATATTACTAATCTGCTTTGCTTTTATTTAATTAGTCGAAAATCTTGTGCAAGTCAAGAGATTAAAACTCCCATCAAACTCTTATAACCCAATGGCTTGACAAGCTGTCCTCTTTATGTCACCTTCATCGTAGAGCTGCCGCTTGCAAATGCAGCTTTCTTCACTCTGAAATACAGTACTTTTGAATCAAGTAAATTTCACTTAGTACTGTATATATCAGTATACTGATAACAATCTCAATACTATCAGTAGGTTATATTTTCAAAGCCTAACTTATATAATTAACCTACCACAACATTATTACTGTGCATTCAACCAGAAAAATAAAACACATTAAACATGTGCACTGATACCACATGTTTAATGTGGTACTAGTGCACATACTGATGGGAACTAGAATTGGAGGTAGACGAGTCCAGAAAGAAAAAATTACCTTAAATAGAATTTTCAGAACAATACAGTAAAAGTTTAGATAGTGGGATGGCTTCGGTATATTAGATTAGATAAAATATATTAAGGTTAAGTTTCTACCTGTTTTGGTTTAGGGGAGCATGAGGCCGACTAATTTTTTCTCATCACTATTATGCTCTTTGTCTAAACACAAGGGTACCCGAATCATTTAAGATTACCGACTCAGTAGCAGCATAATCAAGCTTATATTTTTTAATTTGGGTAAAAAATGAGGTTTACCATGCAGCCTAGAGACCACACCATGACCTGGTCACTGCACAATGACCACAATTAGGTCATTGTGTGACCTAATTAGTACATGTCCAGATACAGCTTACAGTGATGGGAAAAAACGGGAATAAAAACGAAGTGTGGATCTTGGTAAATATAATGGGTCAGCAGAAGAGGTACTTCTCATTAAAACCAAAACATTCAAGGTGGAAACTTTCCTCCCTAATCTAGATACTAATCTTTGAACTGACAATATGTGCAGAGGCTTATTCACAGATTAGAAATATGTTTTCTTTCTTCAATGAATTGAAAAACATTGCTTCTGATGCACTAAAGAAAAAGTGTGAACATCTGGCTAATATGTATGACAAAGACCTGAATTATGATGACCTTTTAAATGAATCTGAGCATCTCAAGCACTACATGGCTTTATGAAAATTGCGAGACACGGTATATGACCTGCACTGTACAAAAAAAATAATTTCAAACAATTTGAAATCTGTATTCTCTAATGTTAAAATTGCACTCAGAATGTTCATGTGCATGATGGTGACAAACTGTACAGGAGAACGTTCTTTTTCAAGACCAAAACTTATAAAAAATCTGCTTTGTAGCACAATAGGGCAGCATTGTTTGAACTGGCTTTCACTCATGTGCATGTAAGATGACATCCTGAAGACCAATGACTTCAAGCCAATAATAAAGCAATTCTCTGAATAGAAATGTAGCAAATGCTTGTTATAATAAGAAGTTCGTAGTAATTTCATACTGTGCCATCTAATCTGAGTAGCATACTGAGTATTAATGTGTTTTTCCCAAGCCTTGTGTATTATGCAAATATTTATCATGTTGATTACTTCCTGCTCTACAGCATGTTTTTATAGTTTTAATGCCAGTTTTGTTGAAGGGCCAATAAAATAAATATACTGTATGTGTATTGTAAATTGTATTGTAAATTGTATTGTAAATGTGTATAGTAAATTGTGTATATTGTATTCTACTATATATATTATCGACCATTTACTTTTCATCCCTGTGAGTGGTTGTCACATGGTCCAATAGGCCTATTTTTATTATTTTATTTTATTTATATATATACAAGAAGGTACATTGGGTTTGTGAGAATACATTGGATAGTACAGTATTACATTCTTGTAAAGCCACTAGTACACGCAGCGTTTCGGGCAGGTCCTTAATCTAGCAGATAATTTTAAGTAGGTAAGTTCAATCAGAATTGATAAATGAAAGATACATTACAAGAGAAAAATGAGATGAGAGAGATAAGTAAGTATATTAAAGCACATTGTTATATTAAAGCTCTGATTGATTACATTGACAGCTTGATTAGTAATTTAAACAAGATTAATAGACACCATACAGCAGATAAAGATGATGCATTAGATTATTATTAGATGCAGCCGCTATATTCATCAATATAAATACGAGCTGCCACGAAGTGGCCCATTTCAGATAGCGCCTACATACAGTATATTACTATTTCAAATTTCACAAATACACAAGTATGGGTTTTTATCCTATGTTATCATGTCTATGAGATGATATTACCATTACTTAATAATAATAATAATTTATTATTATTATTATTATTATTAGGTTATTAACATTAAAAGATCCCAGTAGTACAGTCGGGTTTGTTCTCGACTCACAACTGAGAATTCCGGGTTCAAATCCTGGGCAGGACAGAAATGGTTGAGTGCATTTCATATCACCTCATGCCCCTATCCACCTAGCAGTAAACAGATACCCAGGAGTTAGTCAGCTTGTTGTGGGGTTGTTTCCAGTAATTCGACCATGTGGGAGGACCTTGATATAAGCCTAACATGTACTGTATGTATACTGGCTGCCTGGCCCTCGACACAATGAATTATTGCGTGCTTCCCACTCACTCTATATTAGTGACTAAGATATGCAACTTCACCATTGTAATCACTGCCATCAACTTGCATCGTAGTTATTATGCTGAACACAAATTGTGCTACAATGTACATATTAATATTCTTCAAATTGTGCTACAATGTACATATTAATATTCTTCAAATTGTGCTACAATGTACCTATCAATATTTATCTTTTTGATTAAAGATCTGCCCGAAACGCTAAGCGTGTTAGTGGCTTTGCAAGAATGTAAAAACACCAATGCTATGACAAAATAAAATGAAATGCCTTCATGACCTGATACGTGCTGGACATCTTTCTAATCATTTCTATGATTACTTACAGTTTGTGCGAAGGTCTTTACGCCTTGCGAAGATTGCACAGGTGCTGTTGCAGGGTGGGACAAGTCACTGTTGAGGTTCACACAAGATTTAGGAGTGTTACAAGTTAGACGCGACCAAGACGGCTCTCAGGAGTTGCCTGGCTGTTGTGTTGATGACGTCACGTGCTCGCTTTTCTTCCGCTGACACTATCTTCATTTTCTATAATTTGGAATTACAGTAAAATAAAAAGAAGATGATGCTAACTGTAGGTAATAACTGAGTGATTGTAACCTATCCACCGCTGCCCACTGGATGGGGGGCGGTGTGCAGGACAAACATATAAATTTTGACACTAGCTCTCCACATATGTCAGTTGCTTAATTTAGAACCTGTACTTGAGGTCGATCTCGAACCCATTGTTGATGTGACGACTTATATTGAATTTTGTAACTAGCTCATCAAGATTGTAACTTGCTTAGCTAAATGAATTGTGGGGTGCAGTCCCTGAGCCCATTATGTGCCTCTGTAACCCTTTCCACTACCGCCCACAAGATGGGTATGGGGTGCATAATAAATGAACTAAACTAAACTGATGTAGCAAGTATATTAAGTTGTAATATACTTGCTCCATATTCACATTAGCTTATGTGCACATAACCCTTTCCACTACCGCCCACAAGATGGGTATGGGGTGCATAATAAATGAACTAAACTAAACTGATGTAGCAAGTATATTAAGTTGTAATATACTTGCTCCATACAATACAATACAATACAATACAATACAATTTTATTTAGGTAAGGTACATACATACAATAAATATTTACAAGGATTGTTTAACTTATAGGTATAGCTAGTACATACAATGCCTAAAGCCACTATTACGCAAAGCGTTTCGGGCATGATAAACTTAAATGACAAGCTTAATACTAATTGAGCATAATGAGTAGAATGAAAACAAGAAATGAAAACATAGATGAAAAAGCAGCACAAATACAATTATGTCGACAAACAGCGCTCTTTAAAGAAAAAAACAGACATTGGTTGACAATAGAAGGGTAAGGTAGGTTACAGGGAATTTATTAGGTATAGCTTCGCTTTTAACTTAAACTGGTTGAGAGAGGTACAGTCTTTAACATGGTTGGGAAGGTCATTCCACATTCTGGTCCCCTTGATTTGTAGAGCATTTCTAGTTTGATTAAGTCGTACTCTAGGAATATCAAAACTGTATTTATTTCTGGTGTGATGCTCATGGGTTCTGATACAACCTTCTATGAAGCTTTTGAGATCAGGATTGGCATTATAGTTTAGCGTTTTATATATGTATAATACACATGAGAGAATGTGCAGTGACTTAATGTCTAACATATTCAGAGATTTAAGTAGGGGTACCGAGTGATGTCTGGGGCCAGAATTGGATATTGTCCTAATAGCAGCTTTGTGTTGAGTAATTAGAGGACGTAAGTGATTTTGGGTAGTAGAGCCCCAAGCACAAATACCATAGTTGAGATATGGATAGATAAGGGAGTAATAGAGAGTCACCAGGGCAGGGCGTGGTACATAATATCTGATCTTAGAAAGAATGCCCACAGTTTTTGAAACTTTTTTTGATATGTTTAGAATGTGTCCCTGGAAATTAAGCTTGTGGTCAATGAGAATGCCAAGGAATTTGCCATCTAATTTGTTACAAATTTGGGTATTGTTTATTTTGAGATTTATTTGATTAGAGGATTTATTGCCAAACAGCTTAACACATTAGCTTATTACAATACAATACAATTTTATTTAGGTAAATTCACATTAGCTTATGTGCACATGAGATGGGTCTGTTAAATCTTTATAACCTATCTCTTAGTGTTCCACATTCCTTAGGGTTCTACACTAATTCTTGGTTCACTAAGTACAATTCCTAACTGTACAACTAGTTACAGTTAATTTGTATTTTTATTTATTTATATTTACAAGAGTTCTTATTTTTGTACATTTTTGTACAGCCACTAGCACGCATAACGTTTCGGGCAGGTCCTTAATCCAAATCTTCCCCGGAATATGACCCGCCCAATCTTTTAACAAAACTCAAAGAGTACTCATCTAGTTATGCTTGCGGGGGTTAAGCTTTCGCTCTTTGGTCCCGCCTCTCAACAGTCAGTCATCGTCATCGAGATATTAATAGGGTATTAAAAGTATCAACACAAGACAGAACACGAAACAATGGGTATAAATTGGATAAGTTTAGATTTAGGAAAGACTTGGGTAAATACTGGTTCAGTAACAGGGTTGTTGATTTGTGGAACCAATTACCGCGTAACGTGGTGGAGGTGGGGTCCCTCGATTGTTTCAAGCGCGGGTTGGACAAGTATATGAGTGAGATTGGGTGGTTATAGAATAGGAGCTGCCTCGTATGGGCCAATAGGCCTTCTGCAGTTACCTTTGTTCTTATGTTCTTATGTTCATTTTTATTTTTTTATTTGCTAATGTTTACAGTGTCTATTTGAAGCTGAATTGTATTTGTCTCTGACTAACTTCATCTGTCTTGATTCTTCTCATAATGTTTGCATCATCATCGGCAAACATTGAGAGGAATGAGTCTATACCCTCCGGAAGATCGTTTACATATACAGTATCAGAAAAAGGATGGGTCCAAGTACCAAGTATGAGTCCACGTCGCCGCTTTGATGTCTCCCCCTTCACAGTTACTCGTCGTTTCTTGTTGCTTCGACTCCTTTATCCACTGGAGCACCTTACCTTTTATTCCTGCATTGTTTCTCCAACTTTTGCAACCGCCTTTTATGGGGTACTATTCCAGCATCTCAACTTTCGGGCAGTCCAAGGATATGCAGTCTGCCCACCCTTCTCTTTCTTGCCCAATTTTTGTGGCCTGGTCATAGAATTCTATTAAACCCGTGAGGCAAGATTTATCATCCCTGAACCCATGCTGGTGGTGTATTACAAAGATCCTTCTCTCCAGATTCTATGTTCTACGTAGAATCAGTTCTACGAGCTTTTTCTTCACGATCTTCTCCATCACCTTGCATGGTATACAAGTTAGGGGTAACTGGCCTATAGTCGAGAGATGGCATCGCTCCTGTGCCAGGTAAGTCCACTACGGGCTCACCATAGCCCGTGCTACTTGGAACTTGTTCCGAGTAGCTGAATCTATAACAACAATGGCCTGTAGTTCAGTTCCTCTTGCTCAGAGTGGTTCAGTACAGACGTTTGTGAGATATCGCACACAACTCCGTCAATATTCAGCGTGCTCTCCACTCACCGACTGACCGTCACACCAGTGCTCGCCAAGCTTCACCTGCAAACTTCTGTATATACTACATTCATCCAAATCTATTTTAACCTCTCATATACTGCCCTCCCCAACGGCAGTACTCACAAAAACTACTAGGCGAGTACAACAGTTGGGGAAGTTGGGGTGGGGATCAGGTCGCTTCTTGACCTGATCGATCCTCCTCCGCTACCATTGGTTGTAGCATTTAAAATGGCTGCAGTCCACACATGACGGTACAGTAAGTTAATGGTAATAAATTAATGTATGAGTGGCCATTTAATGTCAAAATTCATCTCTTATTTTGTTAATTGGCATGGGATAAACAGAAAGCCATCAGCTAGATCGGTGGCTGGACGCTCCTTATGACGTAAGGGGGCGGAACTGCTTTAGCAGATTCCTTCCTGTGATTGGCTGCTGCAGGGAATGTTAACACTCTTTCTGTGAATAATATAAAACTAAAAAATGCGTCCTTTTGCACAACAATCTGTTTCTTTTGTACATGACTGAAGTTTCCATCTATCTGAGTAACTTAGTCCAATAAGACTTGTATCATCGTATGATACAAGTCTCGTATCATCGATGTTATAATTATTTTTTTATAATTACTTGTTTCGCGGCAACCCGCACTGATGACGTCACAAGTTTGGTAACCAAGCCATTTTTCTATAACACTTGTTATATCCTGAAATATTTAATTATCACTTTATTAACACTTATTCATAAGTAACAGTTCATTATTTGGGGAGATTAATGTTGAACCAGAATGTCATAAGCATGGCTGGTGTGTTCTGTTGATTTAGGGGCGACGAATGGCTGGTGTGCTAAACAAAGATGATATATTAAATAGGAGGAGCCTTTAGCTGATCCCTTCTAGTAATTGGGTGATGTGGTGAATGTCAACAAAGAATTTCTACCAATGATATGCAAGCGCGGGAATTCTTACTTCAACACAACAACCCTTCTTTGGGTAGCTGTTCGACTATTGACTGTGCAATGTTGAAGCAATAGATGACACCACCTGTATTTTGCAGGGTGGTGTAATTTGATGCCGACAGGTGGCATAAGCTGTATCTTAGAGTTACTAGGCCTGTTGATAGTGTTTTTTTTTCTGCCGACAGATGGGACAAGCTGTATTATTATCATTTTCAAATCTAGTGCTACCCAATCTCCTAATCCTTATGTACCTAATCCAACCAACTTTACCATTATGATCATTGTTGTCTTCTTATATGTGCTATCAATATGCTGTATTGTGCCTATTAATCTTTGTTAAATTAACAATCAAGCTGTCAATGCAATCAATCAGAGCTACCAATGTGCTTTAATATACCTACTAATCTCTCTCATCTCATTTTTTTCTTGCAATGTACCTGTTATCATTTTAAAAATTTTTGTTAGATTAAGGACTTGCCCGAAACGCTGCGCGTAATAGTGGCTTTACTAGAATGTAAATACCATGCTATGTATCCTCACAAACCCAATGTACCTTCTTGTATATAAATAAATAAATCCTCTTTAAACACTGATCTACAAATCCTGTTGTTTATGATAGTTTTATACCGTGCTGCTGTTAGGCAAAGTCTCTTCAATTATGATAAGGTTTTATACCTTGCTGGTATTAGGCAACAGGAGTTCTTCAATTACTATTTACTGTTGAGGATATTATTATATAATGAAGACTTACCTGTGTAGGCTGTTGATCCCATATGCCTCCTATATGCTAACTAATATCATTAGCTAGGTCTTGTCTCAAAATATGTAATTCTTTTTATTTTCTTAATATTAATTAAATTTTTAAACCCGGGACCTATGTTATTCATAATATATATAAATGATTTAGATTCAGGTTTGAGCACCAATATCTGTAAATTTGCCAGCAATACGAAAATCGGGAAGGAAGTAACTATCACTTCAAAACGATCTAAATAGGGGTTTGAAATGTCAAAAAGATTGGCAGATGTAGCTTAATGCTGACAAATGTAAGGCTTTGAGGCTAGGTAATGATGCTAGAGCTACAAGATACAAGCTAGATGGTGTTTTCTGAGTTATGATTAGTAAGAATTTAAAGCCAAAAAAATCAATACATAAATATGTAAAATAAGGCAAATAGGACACTGGGATTTATTTTTTGAAGAGTTAGTAATAAAACACCTGGCGTTATTCAGATGTTACTCAGTACCATGTAGTACTCAAGTCCCATGATTACGTACTCAGCAGTACTACATGGCTCTTATGTAGTGCTGCTGAGTGTGAGAGGGGATTCAGTCACATGAACCTGATAATTGCAACAACACGCTCTAGAATTCTTATAAATCATGTATCAGCACTTATGTTTGTTAAACTACATGGACCTCCTCTAGCTGAGTGGAATCCTGATCCATATACCATATCATGGCTGCGGCACCACAGATTGGCAGATGATCGACAGTTGCTTCACACCCCTGAAAACATCTCACACCTGAGTTTGTTGCAAATACCTTTCTGTGATTGGCTTTTGCAGGGAATACCAACACTCTTTCTATGAATGAAATGTAAACTAAGAAATATGTCCTTTTGAACAATATGTTTTGTTCCTGACATAAATTTCCATCTAACTTAATAATGTAGTCCAATAAGAGGGTGGAGCATCGTATAATCGACGTTATAGAATATAATTATTATTATTATTTGTGTGAGGCAACACCCACTGAAGACGTCAGAAGTTAGGTAGTCAGGTCATTTTTCTATAACACCTGTTATATCCTGCAATATTAAATTGTCACTTTATTAATACTTTTAAATAATTAGCACTTGACTTTTTAGGTAGATTAAAGTTGTAGCAGAATGTCGTAAGCAAGGCTAATGTGCTGAACAAAGATGATTAATTAAGTAGGTGGCACCTTTAGCTGATCCCTTCCTCTGATTGGCTGTTGTCGTGAATGTCAACAAAGAGTTTCTACCAATGACATGGTAGCGCGAGAATTCCTTCTTCAGCCCAACAACCCGCCTTATGGGCTGCTGTTTGGCTATTGGTAGTACATGGGAAACGCAACAGATGGCGTTAGTTGTATTTTGAAGGGAAAGGGGTTGATAGTGTAATTTGATGTCAACAGATGGCATAAGCTGTATCTTATGGCTGGCCTCTTGATAGTGTTCTTTTCTGTCGACAGATGGCATCAGCTGTACAGTATCATTATTACTTCCGAATTTCAGTTAAAACTGAATCTAAAAGTCCCATAGCTTATGATAACGTTTTATATACTGCTGGTACTGTATTGGGTAACTGAAGTTCTGCAATTAACTTTTTTAATCTACCTTTGAGGATATCATATTACATCTGGTTAGGTTGTTTGCCGTATATTTGGTGTTAATGGTTAATTATTGGATTTATTGTAATTTGGATTTTCTCATTAATTGTTGCTCTTAACTCTCTCCCAGTGGGCGCCGCGCCATTAGTTGAGAGCGACCGACTAAATTATATTTAATTTATTTGGAAATACATCACATCTCAACACAATGACGTTTAATACGGCTGACGTTTAATTTATTTGGAAATACATCACATCTCAACACAAAGACATTCAAATGCAAATACTGTCTTTGTGTTGAGATGTGATGTATTTCCAAGTAAATTAAACGTCTTTGTGTTGAGATGTGATGTATTTCCAAATAAATTAAACGTCAGTCGTATTAAACGTAATATTAAAACAACAAATTATGCATATAATAACAGCATTTCACACTAAAAATTCTTGGATATTTCGAAATTTGGGAGTGAATTCCAATCAAGGAATCTCCTATGACGACACTGTACTGTGTTCGCTTTAGCAAGGTATAGTAATAGAAGTAGGCATCCATCAGTCTCAGGAGACTATGGAGTTGGGCTCTGGTTGTCGGTCTGGAGTGGCCTCCCCAAGGCGCAAAGCCAGGGTAGGTTGATACGGGGAAAAAGCTGTCACCCATGCAGCAGGTCCCCGCTCTCCACGGCTCCGAAAAGCTCCAATGGAAAGGGAAACGCCAATACGACATATCAATCCAATATATTGGGATTTATATACTGTATATAATAAGTAATACTAAATCATTGTGTTGGGGGACAGGCAGCCAGTGTATATATGCATGTTAGGCTTATACCGAGGTCCCTACAAAGTGGAATTAGCAATGGAGTGAGACTTGGTGCTGCCAGAGCCGGCCCTATATAGGCTTGCTGGCGCCTCGGGCAGGTTGAACTTCGGCACCCATACAGGTATAATTTTTCTGTAAAATCTTCACAGAGAGGAACAACTGTAAATGTAAACGATTCTTCGCGGCAGGGGATCGTATTCCAGGGACCATAGGATTAAGGACTTGCCCGAAACGCTACGCGTACTAGTGGCTGTACAAGAATGTAACAACTTAAAAAAAAAAAAATGTAGGAATACTGTAGTGTATTAAAACATACAAGCTTAAGCCATAATTGTCAAAATTCTGTTAACCTTTAAAGTACAGCTGGAAAAGATCATCAAGGCGAATGATGAGCTACATAATCTTCAACAAGTCGGCTTGTGGGTTTTGACATTACCGTAAAGGTTGTAGACCACACTGGACGTTTTACAGGTGAATGCTTTTATTTTATTTTTTTTAGCAATAACTGCATCAATTATACGGTTGACTTTCTTCTTGATATCTTCAGTTGGGTTTTTGGTAATCCTCTTGAATTTAGTCTCATCTGGGAGGACTTCATTTAGTTTGGTGACATTCATCAGTCGGGATGAGGACGAAGGCTGCGGTGTTATCAGCTCTCCGGATTGTGATGTTCTCTATGGACTTATGTTGCTTGGCTGCTTCTTTGTGTTTATTATCTAGGGTGTTATTCCTGTAGTCTTCCCTTGGAGAGATATATGTACATGACATGATTTCGATGTGGATTCAAAATATAACTTATTAAAAAATATTCTAAGCAAGGCACAGGAATGTAGTATACCATGCAAATTGAATAGATCTAATATTAATGACCCGAAATGGATAACAAAGGATCTGAAGAACCTTATACGTAGAAAGATAGCTTGGTACTAGAGGATTAAGAATGGGGAGGTCAGTATAGAACAAGAATTCGTCCATCTGGTTAGAAATGTTCAAAAAGAGATAAGGAGAGCAAAAAGAATCTATGAAGACGAGGAGTCACAATAACGTGACTGAAATATGTTGACCAAACCACACACTAGAAAGTGAAGGGACGACGACGTCCCTTCACTTTCTAGTGTGTGGGTTCAATCAACAAGAATCCATGAAGTTCGCAGACAGGACAAGCAAAGACAGATCCTTTCAGTTATATCGAACGAAGATTAGGGAAAGGATAGGTCCGTTAAAAACTGAGACAGGTCAGGTAACTGATAAAGACAAAGAGATGAGTAGTATTTTAAATAAATATTTCATCTGTAAGTATATGAATGTAGTTATATATCTGTATTTATATAGCTATATATGAATGAGATTGTGTGGATATATATATATATATATATATATATATATATATATATATATATATATATATATATATATATATATATATATATATATATATATATGTCGTACCTAGTAGCCAGAACGCACTTCTCGGCCTACTATTCAAGGCCCGATTTGCCTAATAAGCCAAGTTTTCCTGAAATAGTTTATTTTCTCTAATTTTTTTCTTATGAAATGATAAACCTACCCATTTCATTATGTATGAGGTCAATTTTTTTTTATTAGAGTTAAAATTAACGTAGATATATGACCGAACCTAACCAACCCTACCTAACCTAACCTAACCTATCTTTATAGGTTAGGTTAGGTTAGGGAGCGGAAAAAGTTAGGTTAGGTTAGGTTGCCGAAAAACAATTAATTCATGAAAACTTGGCTTATTAGGCAAATCGGGCCTTGAATAGTAGGCTGAGAAGTGCGTTCTGGCTACTAGGTACGACATATATATATATATATATATATATATATATATATATTGTAAATGAGTTCAGGGAACTATATCACAGAAAGGGCCGGTGCAGTCATCAATTGCTCGGCTCGTCATTGTACCTGCATTAGCTGTGAATATATTTCGGGGCTCATGGCACGAGTCACTGAGATACGTGCTGGTATCTTCAATGTCATGAATGTATATGACAGGGATTGTCAGCCATTAGCCACAATGTTATGTGAGCGTCTTACGTCAACAATGCTTGTTGGCGCATTGTCTGGCATACAACCGCATTTGTTAGTACCATTCACTCATCAAACCGAGATCCACTCATTTAAAATAACGCAATTTTTGCCAATAAATTCATTCAAAGACTTTATTTTAATAGTAGTAGTTAATAAATGACAAGTGATATTCACTAATTAGGTTTGTATTGCTTTATCTGAGGCCATGAGAAACATTACACACGTGCTCTAGTTTTGTGTAAGCTTAATGTTCTTCTGTAGTTACTTAGAATTAGATGCTTCTGTTGTTATCTTTATGGAAAACGATACTTTAGCTCCTGAGTTTCATAGTGCAGCTGAGAGCATTGATATAATGTTTTCTGGGCAGGAATGTTTCTGAATATACTGTACAGTTTCCGGTAAATCTATTTTACCTACTGAGGCAGAATAACAAGCATCAGTTTTATGTTACATTATATAGTGGGAGCAGATGTTGCATCTCAATTATATATTCATTCAATAGTCTCATAACATTTTGTAGGCCTAGGATCTTCTACAATATTTTCCTTAACATGATATGTTGTTGACCAAGTTCAGTAGCTAGTCAAGCTTCCTCATCTATTTGTGGAGTGAAATAGCGTCACTGAAGTTTTCAGCAGCCTCCGGGAGCACATAGTAACGCATTTAGTCATATCATACATCCCTGCCGTAGCCTCATGTAGATGTTTCGTGAAGACTCACAACAAAACGGATCCTGATCCTGACTCTCAGTAGTCTTCATCGTCGGGAATATCCTCCACAATGTCCTGAATGTAAGTTGTGGGGGGCAGGTGATCATTTTCCTCGTCATCTTGTTCAATCTGTGGGCTTGGCTTGGAAGTTACCTGAAAAAAAAACAGACGCACCTTTAGCAATCATTGTTCCAGGATTGAACAGAACAGAAAGCGTTGACCTTTAATATTTATGACCGTTGTTCATAAATATTAAACATTGATAGACTTTATTTGAAGATAACGCTTCCTTTTTAAGGTCTTTATTTATCTGACAGATACACAGAGCCAGTGTTTTATAAATAAACAAGCGAGAAAGGTGAGGCCGAAGTGAAAGTATGACGATGTTAGTTGTGTTAGATTCAGCTACTCGGAACGAAATGTCCATGTAGCACGTTTTGTTTAGTTCATTTATTATGCACCCCATTCCCATCCTGTGGGCGGTAGTGGAAAGGGTTACAGAGGCACATAACAGGCCCAGGGACTGAACCCCACAATTCATTTAGCTAAGCAAGTTACAATCTTGATGAGCTAGTTACAAAATTCAATATAAGTCGTCATATCATCAATGGGTTCGAGATCAACCACAAGTACAGTTTCTAAATTAAGCAACTGACATATGTGGAGAGCTAGTGTCACAATTGAGGAAAATGTTTGTCCTGCACACCGCCTCCAATCCAGTGGGCAGCGGTGGATAGGTTACAATCACTTAGTTACTACCTACAGTTAGGAAACTGGGGATATTTGGCTAAGATTTCTGGTATCAGATCATTTTGAATTAAATATTTACACATCACTGGAACATTTGTTATATAATTGTCTCTGAATTCATGTATCTGTTCGCACTCCATCACATAGTTACGGAGGGTGTGCGAATAATTTTGTTGATACAGTCTACATTTGGTCAGGTCTACATCAGCAGATAATGAGAATTCCCAGAGATACTTGTAACCGAGTCTAAGCCGAGCAGTAGTAACATCTAGAAGTCTGCTGATTTTATTGGATGATCCATTGATGTGTGGCTCTGTCGGAAAATCCGACACCATTTAATATCATACAGATAATAGCTGTATTACCAACAAGTTACCCATAGAAAACGTAACTTGTAGTGGAATTACCATCTAAAGAAAACGGGATATCATCACCACATACCATTATAAATTCACCAGCTATTCTGCTGGGAATTATTCTTAAATACATTAGTCGTTGGACTTTACCATCATAAAAACATCTTATATAAATTAACTTAATTATCAATATTAAAGTAAAGTAAATGTGACCCTTCTATCACGTTCTGAAATCTGGACAATGTAGGCCAGGCGTCAGAGTGGGGAAGGAGGGCAGCCATTGTTGTTATATGAGACCAGAGGCTCACACGGGAGCAAATTCGGCTCCTGTTAAATTTACTTGGACGTAGTGTTATGGAACCCAAAGGTGTACCATTGTCAACACGCTGTCTACAAATACAAGTTAAGTGTCTATCCGAAACCCATTATTTATCATTAGTGGCCATTAATGTCATTATATAGGGTGACCCGGTTAGATCACATGGAAGCCTCAAACTAAAGGTAATTAAGCCAGGTCTTCATGTTCCATGTACTGTTTTCTCTGATATACTTGTCATATATAGGATTCTGGCTTCACAGCTAGCGCACTTTTGACAGGTCAAGACGAGGAAGATTATGTGCACCAGTTACTGGGTGATGGAAGCTACCTCAAAGAGGATAATTTGGTGTCTACACCCTAGTTATACCTGGTGGACTAACCTGCTGTACTATAAGATAAGGAACCTCATCAATGTATGTAGCTATTACTGTAGTTTGATTGGCTGCATATATATTAATTTAATAACCCCCCCTAATGTGTAGAGGATCGATTTGTGAGATTATGAGATTATTGCAGAAATACAGTCCACTTATCATTATACAAATTGCTATCGAAGTATATAAATTAACGTAAATATAAATTCATATAAATTAAATAAATATAAATCTCACAGGTCGGTTCCCACATTATTTGGTCCTTCGAACCGGATGACGGATTATTTGATCCTTTGAACCCACATTTGGTCATCTTAGTACCGGATGAACCAGTTAACCAAACCAGTGGATTCATTAAATATACTAGTGCAGTGTTATTTAAACAAAGCCAGTCAAGACAGCGGCGTTGCCTCGTGGGAGCTCAGGAGCCTCCCTCAGCCCAGATCAGCCTTAGTCAGCGGTTTCATGCACACCCACAGAAATTTGGTGGCGTGTTATTTCGTGAAATGACAGCGCTAATATAGAATCCAGCCAAATTAGTGACTGTGTCTTCGCGAGATTGTTCACGGATTTCGTGGTGTTACATTTCGCGAGAGATTATCTACGAATTTTGTGGACTTTATTTCGCGAGGTCACTAATAATATTTAATACTTCTAGATAATATTAGAAGTTTCATAGAGGCTAATTAAGAGGCTATTATCAATAATTGTGTATATTATTTCTCCAAGATAGAGAATTATTTAATATATATTGCACTAGTGATCACAGTATAATATTTACTAATTGCCAACCCACAACAGGGTAGGATATTAACCATTGACTAGTTGAACTATTATCGTTCATCCTAGTCCCATTATTACAATAGTCAGTTGTACTATATTGAACAACCTAACACCATTAATGAATGGTCCAGACCCTATTTTGGGTGTAATTTTTAACAACTCGAGTTGAGTTGTATATATAATAAATTACTTATGATCATTACACCTTTGAGTGATTAATTAGTGTCTCTACCATCCTAGGGTGATATAGAAGAGCTAACCTAAAGGTACTTCCAGTGACACTGGTTTATCACTCAAATCATTAGTGTGTATGATTGTATATATATATAATGTGTATTAATTTTAAGTGCTAACCTCTAGTAGAGGTAGGATTATTGCCTAGTGAGTTCAGAATTTACCCTAGGCTACCATTAGAGCTTGTTCAGTATTATGAGCAGCCCAAGTACAAGTCCCACAAGGCTTCACCAACGAGCCAGTATGGATAATGCAGGGAGAATGAAAAGAACCCTTGCAGGTCTTAAAGGCCACTTAACAAGACAGATCAAGAAATGTGAAGATTTGTCACAACAATCAACAGTTGATTATGCTGACCTGGAAAGCTATTATCAAGCAGCTGCAGGTAAATTTGAGCAAATCAAATGTCAAATAGCAACATATGTGGCTGAACTTGCCAACACTAATTTATCAGAAACAGAAATAGACGACATTATGGTTGATCTTGCGAATTATGAAGATCAAACTCAGGCCACGTTACAGCCTTATGTCAAATTAATTGCCCAGAACAAGGCAACAGCAACAACAACAACAGTTGCATCTAATACGAGTCAAGCAGAAGCTCGACTCCCTCCAATTAATTTACCCACTTTCTCAGGGAAAGATGAGGAAGATTGGGACGAATTTTGGAACAAATTCGTTGACCTTGTAGACTCAAAACAATCTTTACCAAAGAGTAGTAAATTCTCTTATTTGCAAGGCCAATTATCAGGTGAGGCTAAAACAGTAGTATCCCATCTGAGATTAACTAATGACGGCTATGATCTGGCAGTAAAACTCCTCAAGGATAATTATGCTGATCCAGAAGTAAGAACATCACATTTAGTTCATGAGCTGTTGCATTTACCCCCACCGGAGGCTTCAGCTGATTCACTCCAAGTCTTCAAGCTGGAGGTAGAATCATTGATCAATGCCCTCAGCCTGACAGCAGATACAAACGGGGCTGAGTGGGTCTTGAAAATAATTGTCCAGGAGAAAATACCTAGGGACATATTGAGACAAATGAGTGCTCATTACAATAAAAGCATCTTATCCATGAATGAAATATCTGAAGGTTTAAAGTCAGTAGTTCATCAATTACGAACACATGACAAATTAAAACCACCAAGTAAACCCTCAGAAACCAATAATAGTAAACCACAGAGTACCAAAGGTACTCCAAATCAATCTAGACAATATAATTCAACACCAAAGTGGAACAGTAGCAGTGTGGGCGTATATGCAGTGGGACCCTCCAAGCCTATAGTTACTGTGTCACCCAAGAACGTGACACCAAAGGGTACTGGAAGCTATGGAACATGTTTGTTCTGCAATGAGAAACATTCAATGTACCACTGCCCTAATTTTCCTGATAGTGACGCCCGTGTTGAGCGACTCAAAGATTTGCAACATTGCACGAGGTGCCTCAGGAAACATAACATCAACGACTGTGAGACCCAATTACACACCTGTAATAGGTGTAACAAAGGTCGACACCATGCAGCATTGTGCAGAGACACCAAAACAACGTCTCCAAACCCCAAGGTGGAAGATAGCATTCCCACCACAGTACAGTACTGCAAGGTGCAACAAACAAAGAGTGTCCATACGGCAAAGTCTAAAGGTAATACGACTTTGCCTACTGCCCAAATTGCCATCCTGAATAAGAGGGCCAAGGTCCATACCCGTGGGTTGTTTGACCAAGGATCCCAGAGAACATATATCACTAAAAAGTTGGCAGATGAATTACAATTAAGGCCTGTAGCCCAGATGTCATTCAACATCTCAGGGTTTGTAACAGATGCAGGACCTCAAGTCTACCAGGTGGTACAACCATCAGTACGCTTAGGCAGGTACGTCTGTCGAGTACAAGCCATTGTGGTGGACAAAATACCAGTAGACCTACAAGTTCAAGGTCTGAGAGCAACAGCCAAATTCCTGAGAAATAGAGGAATAAAATTGGCAGATAATATTAAGTCTGATCACCTCACCGACTTCGGTCTCCTTGTAGGGACAGACTATTGTCATCGATTCATCGGTAGCCCTACTAAATATCAGGGTATAACCATGTTAAACTCTGCAGGAGGTAAATTACTCTCAGGCCCAGTATCAAGCCTGAGGAGACCTATGCCTGCAGATAAACAATACCAATAGAAATCTAAATTTGTCAGCTGATTATATTTCTCCAGTAGCATTATACTAAGGAGATTACAGCTGACTATAGTAACAGAGGTTGATGTTAGTATCATCATTTAAAGCTGGAGATGAGTTCATGAGGCCTCAGTGGCAAATCAGTGAACAGTAGCCTAAAACAGCTACAAGTCACTGCGACCAATGTCACTGAACCCACTGCAGTCTCAGAACCATACTTTACTTTATTGATGAGCTATTCAATCTTCTGAATCAATTAACTAAATTAAACCCCAATAAATCTGATGACTGATTTGATACATTTATTATTTAATCAAGATGTATTCCATGGGCCTCAGTGTTTATATATCAGTGACCAGTTACCTGAAGAAACTTCAAGTTATATCTAATGTCACTGATCTCACTGCAGTCCCTGAATCATACTTGACTGTAGTACTTGATCACATCCAGTCTTCTGGGTTAAATAATATGTAATTAGGCTTGAATATTAGCCTTTCAAGAGTTGACAGGGAAATGAAATCGCATTAGACTTCTAACCCCTGCAACTCTAGTACGGGACATCCGTCCTGTACGAACAGACACACAAATGTGTGATTATTAACTACTAACATCAAATTAATCTAATAATTCGAAGGAGGAGTATCGGTGTTCGTCTGTTCTAAACAGGACTTCGACCCGTGAGCAGCCCCCTGGGGAATTATGTCGGAAAATCCGACACCATTTAATATCATACAGATAATAGCTGTATTACCAACAAGTTACCCATAGAAAACGTAACTTGTAGTGGAATTACCATCTAAAGAAAACGGGATATCATCACCACATACCATTATAAATTCACCAGCTATTCTGCTGGGAATTATTCTTAAATACATTAGTCGTTGGACTTTACCATCATAAAAACATCTTATATAAATTAACTTAATTATCAATATTAAAGTAAAGTAAATGTGACCCTTCTATCACGTTCTGAAATCTGGACAATGTAGGCCAGGCGTCAGAGTGGGGAAGGAGGGCAGCCATTGTTGTTATATGAGACCAGAGGCTCACACGGGAGCAAATTCGGCTCCTGTTAAATTTACTTGGACGTAGTGTTATGGAACCCAAAGGTGTACCATTGTCAACACGCTGTCTACAAATACAAGTTAAGTGTCTATCCGAAACCCATTATTTATCATTAGTGGCCATTAATGTCATTATATAGGGTGACCCGGTTAGATCACATGGAAGCCTCAAACTAAAGGTAATTAAGCCAGGTCTTCATGTTCCATGTACTGTTTTCTCTGATATACTTGTCATATATAGGATTCTGGCTTCACAGCTAGCGCACTTTTGACAGGTCAAGACGAGGAAGATTATGTGCACCAGTTACTGGGTGATGGAAGCTACCTCAAAGAGGATAATTTGGTGTCTACACCCTAGTTATACCTGGTGGACTAACCTGCTGTACTATAAGATAAGGAACCTCATCAATGTATGTAGCTATTACTGTAGTTTGATTGGCTGCATATATATTAATTTAATAACCCCCCCTAATGTGTAGAGGATCGATTTGTGAGATTATGAGATTATTGCAGAAATACAGTCCACTTATCATTATACAAATTGCTATCGAAGTATATAAATTAACGTAAATATAAATTCATATAAATTAAATAAATATAAATCTCACAGGTCGGTTCCCACAGGCTCCTCTTGCATGATAGTATGATAATACATGGAATTACTTGAGTCGATTTGACTTTGCCTCAGATCTACACGATTTTGTTGAAGCTCTTGGTGTTCTATTGCTCTCAGAGTGCTTATTGACAATCTAAGGTTATACTAAATTTCTCTTTTAAAGGCAGATTCTTTGGCTAACTCATTATTATTTTTTTTTTTTTGAGATATATACAAGAGTTGTTACATTCTTGTACAGCCACTAGTACGCGTAGCGTTTCGGGCAAGTCCTTAATCCTATGGTCCCTGGAATACGATCCCCTGCCGCGAAGAATCGTTTTTTCATCCAAGTACACATTTTACTGTTGCGTTAAACAGAGGCTACAGTTAAGGAATTGTGCCCAGTAAATCCTCCCCGGCCAGGATATGAACCCATGACATAGCGCTCGCGGAACGCCAGGCGAGTGTCTTACCACTACACCACGGAGACTATTTAGCTCTATCATGCATTCGGAGGCCTACATGAGATGGAGTCCACGTGAATCCACATGATGGACTCTGGTACCATCATTAATAATTTTTTTGTATTTGTTTCTAGCTTCAGACACGAGCATGTTACAGTTATGTCTTAAAGAGTTGAGAGCAATTAAGGATGACAAAGAGTCACTTACAATCAATGTATTAAGTTTGGAGACCTGTACACGTTTCAGTTCAAGAAGCAAGGCAAATAGTTCGGTCTGAAGGGTAGAGGCCCAGTTGTTTATACGATGATTGATTGATAAAGATTAAGCCACCCAAGAGGTGGCACGGGCATGAATAGCCCGTAAGTGGTATAATTTTTTGTTCAGTAATTCTTTTCAGTATTCTGAGGTTGCATTTAATCGTCAAGCTGTTATCTCTGGGGGAGAATGTTGTTATAGATTCAGCTACTCGGAACAGGTTCCAAGTAGCACGGGCTATGGTGAGCCCGTAACTTACCTGGCACAGGAGCAGGGCAAATAGCCTGGGGGAGAATACTGCTCGACAGTCTTTATGAGGGTGTCCAGCTGCTGGACACCTTTTTTGACCAGGAGAGTGCACCCAAGAGGTGGCACGGGCATGAATAACCCGTAATGTTTATACGGACTCCCCACTCAAAATATAAGCCATCGCCCATTGTCAGGATAGGTGCACTTCCATCTGCACCCGTGGGGCAGTGAAGGGAACCATCAGTGTATATGATTGGAGAGAGAGAGAGAATGCTCTGTGGGCAGAACATCAATATAGCTTGAAGGCATGGCAATATAGCTTGAGCTTTGCCTCAAGACGAAGCTTGGTCTGATCTCTAATTTGCTTCTTGGGTGGAAAGGGAGGGATTAAACTTGGAAAGAATGTAATCTCCCACGGTGCAGGAAAGTGCCGTTGTTGTCTCTCTTGGTACAAATTATAAGCCTGATACATTCTGAGTTCAGTTCTAGTTTTAGTTATCCATTTGGAACAATGTTGACCTTCAATAAAGAAATTCTGGGGGGCTTATGTGCAAGAGTTAGGATGAGCTATCCTAAGCATTTTTATACCAATTTGACAGTTAATTTCAGTAACACGATCAACGACGCTCGGAATATTAAATTTCTTTCTTATGTTAAGTATCTTTGTGGTACGAGGTCACCCAAGGATTATCCTCAAGGGTTCGTTCTGCAATTTTTCAAGTCCACTAAGCTTTCTTTCAGGCATCAAAGCAAGCAGAAATGCAGCATAATCCACTAAAGATCTGATGTAAGCAAGGTACATCATTTTGACAATGCTGACATTGGCACCATAGCCTGAGTGATAACCTGCAACAGCCTTGAGAGCCCTGAGCCTCTCTTTATACTGACGACTGAGTCTGAATACAACAGGACCATACAGTGGCACCTCAAGGCCAAGGTAGCTATTCGCAAGATACAACTGAATGATAGCTCCCAGCTTGGCTATGTAAACAGATTCACGAGCTATAGTGAGCCCGTAATTGAGTTCGGTTATTCGCGAACGCAAACGTTCGTATAATAAACTTACCTTAGATTAAGGACCTGCCCGAAACGCTATGTCTGTTAATGGCTTTGCAAGAATGTATGAACACCAATGTTATGTACTCTCACAAACCCAGTGTACCTTCTTGTATACAAATAAATAAATAAATAAATAAATAAAAAATAAATAAATATAATAGATAAAAAATAAATAAATAAATAAATAAATAAATAAATAAATAAAATATATCAGCCTAGCCCCACTGGATTTTAAAGCAGCCATAGACAGCATGTTCACGCACTCTACACCAGGCCTAGATTCCTGGAATTCTATACTCATCAAGACTTACAGAAAAAAACACTATCATATCTTAAACATTTAAACATCATTTGGAGACGGAGCCTAGATATTAATGTCATTTCAAGCACACTTAAAACAGTAAAGATCGCACTACTCCACAAAGGAGGTAGTAAAGCAGACGGGAGTCCTGACCTGCTGGAGACATTACCTGCACGGGGGTCCTGGTCGGCTGTTGCTTAGGTGGGCTGGACACGATGGCCGGCTTGCTGGGCATAACCTTCTTGGGCGCTGGCACGGCTTGACCTCCTCCATACCCTTGGGTCACAGTACCTGCCACGCTCACCTTGTGCACTGAGCAGAAGTGATCATGGCCTGATACAAGTATATTCCAATTAAAGTGAGCTTACAGTGAACAGAATTATATTTGTTACTTATTTATATTATTTAAAGTAATACTAATTTATGGGAAGGTTTTATATATTAGGTGGAAAGCTCTTTGGGTATATTATTCATTCTTTCTTGATATCGATTAGCATTTTGTTTCCATGTTTTAGCTTTCTAAGCATTTGATTAGTTGGCTGCTATCACAATTAATAGGATGAGCTGATATAAAATGATAGATATATTTGAAGGATTGTGTTACATATGGCGCGGACCTTCCACTATGGTGATCCTGATGTGGACCGCCGTCATCTGCTCAGCTGACAACACGGAACTCTGCAGCTTGCCGTCGTCATGTGGCAGCTCTGAGGACAACGGGTCTCGTAGTGAGAACCTATCATTGGCCACAGATTACAGACATTGTGGGTCTGCAATCGTGAAAAGGTTACAATCTATCTAGAAAGGGTTCAAATCCATCTAGAAAGGACTAAATATATATAGAAAGGGTTCAAATCCATCTAGAAAGGACTAAATATATATAGAAAGGGTTTAAATCTATCTAGAAAGGGCTAAAATCTATATAGAAGGGGTTAAAATCTATCTAGAAAGGGCTAAAATCTAAATAGAAGGGGGGTTAAAATCTATCTAAAAAGGGTTAAAATCTATTTAGAAAGGGTCTAGATAGTGCACACACACACTGCCTAAAAGGTGGTACTGCACGTGACTTTCTTACTTGTTAGTCTTGTCACCATGCACGTACCGTAATGTTAACTCCAGTGCTGGAATTACACTTCTGTCCTTGTAAATTGAATCACAAATTTAAGCCAAATGAAATTTATATGTAGCTAGTTTACCACCAATGGAAATTGCTTAACTTAAGGAACTTTGAGGTGCAGTGTACGTCAAAATCCCTGAGACCATTATTGACTCTTTATGACGCCATTATTTGATTCTACCCTTTCCACCACAGCCCATATAATGGGTATGGCGTCCATTATATTATTATTATTCTTGTATTTATATATTTACAAGAAGGTACATTGGGTTATGAGAGTACATAGCATTGATGTTTTAACATTCTTGTAAAGCCACTAACACGCATAGCGTTTCGGCCTTAATCTAACAGATAATTTTAAGTAAATTCTTAGCAGAATTTAGAAATGTTAACCGATACATTGTAAGAAAATTTGACGAAGATTAGTAGGTACATTATAGTAAAATTTGAGGATTATCAACAGGTACATTGTAGCATAATTTGAGGATTATTTCTAGGTATAATGTAGTAAATATGCGATCAATATAACAACCATGATATAAGATTATAGCAGTGATTACAATGGAGAAGTTATATGGCTTAGGTACATATATTGGGGGAGTGGGTAGCACAAGATACAGTGCGAGTTTAAGGCACTAGGTAGGCAACTATGAGAATAAAATTAGGTACTTTTTGGTTTTATTTTTTAATAAGGCGTAGGTTGGGCAGCTTTTCAATTCGTTAGTGAGCGAGTTCTATAGACTAGGTACCTTTATTTGCATAGAGTGTTTACACAGATTTAGTTTGAATCTGGGGATATCAAAGAGATATATATTTCTGGTGTGGTGATTATGGGTTCTGTTACATCTGTCAAGGAAGAGTCTCAGATCAGGATTTGCATTTAAGAACAGGTTTTGTAAATGTAAATGGCACAAATGTAAAATGATATGTAAATAGATCTAAAAACCCAACTCACAGAGCGTGATAAATGGGTCGTGATTATCAGATTCACCACTGGCACTGCTGCTACCTAGCAAGACCTGCCAGCTATCAAACAACGTATAAAAAAATGCCGATCAGAATCAATAAATACCTTTTTCGACGACCTCCTCGAAGTCAGTAGGCTGCGTCTTGATGCTCCGAGCCACAGACACCTTCCTCACTGCCGGTTAGACACCTTGACTGTATTTATTGAGCATTAGTACATGGCTAAACGATCACCTAATCTTAAATATATTATATTTACAAGGTAAATATTACATTATATATATATTGTATGTATGTACTTTATGTACATAAACATTATGTACACCTCTTGTATGTATGTACTTTACCTGAATAAACATTTGAATTTGAATTTGAATTTTGAATAAAACAAATTATCAACATTCTTCAAGTCATCCAAGTAACTCATCCATCCTATGATGTTGGTGTGAATAAAAGCAACAATAGTGTGTTAGGCTGTGGGAAGGGGAGAGAATACCATTGTAGGCGAGGATGGCGAGGTTGTCGATGGCGGTGAGGCCGGGCAACGTCAGCACCACCACCTGAGGGTACAGTCCGCTCGACGCCCAGAACGTGTCCGGCCTCCTGCAGGAGCACCACACCCAGTCAGGAGGAGGAGGAGGAGCAGCAGAGAGTGGGTATGTTGACTGGTAGTAAGAAACAATTAGGGTGCATGGTATACAGAGAGAGAGAGAGAGTACTCAATTGTCTACGTGGATTGAGCTTCAGCTCCTAAGCCCTCCTTAACTGGATACCAACCAGAGCAATGCCTCACCAACCGTGTTGTGTTTTTTGTATATATTATATATATATATATATATATATATATATATATATATATATATATATATATATATATATATATATATATATATATATATATATATATATATATATATATATATATATATATATATATATATATATATATATATATATATATATATATATATATATATATATTGTGACGATAATCTCCTTCAAGAGATTGAGCCTGCTCTTCCCTACAAAAATACGTCGTTACATCTATATAAAACTACTATGGAAGAAGTGTCCAACAACGACAACAACACCAGTAAGGTTTGCCAGAGCGCAAAACGTATGCAGCCAGGAACACCTGCTCAGCCTCAAACCGCCAAACTACCTGTCTTATTGCCGGCTCCTCGCTGATTGGCCGCCGGTCTGGCTGCAACTGCACTCCACCCACCATACTACGTGATGTCTGGGGCCGCCACGACCTCAGTCCTCAGAATATTCAGTGCTTTCATACGGTTAACACTTCTTCCTGGTAGACTAAGCTTAGGCTGACGTGTACTGAGAGAGGTGATAGCTTAAAGGCAATATTCCTGCACCTCTCATTTATTGTATATTGCACAGCTTGTTATTACTCACTTGTCTTAACGTAACTTTTCATTTTGTCATTTAATTCTTCTTATTATTTCGATTGATTGATTTTATTATACGAATTTGTATGTCCATTTTATTCATGTTTTGTTTATTTAACGTAATTAAAATTTCATTGTTAAAATTTACTTGTGTTTTGTGTGTCTTCTCCTTACCTTACTACAGACGAAGTTCCAGATTTTCTATTTTTTTTTTTATTCTATGTGACGAGGCCATACCCCTAGCTTTGAACAGCCGAACACCAACGCGTTACCGTCACAATATATATATATATATATATATATTGTGACGGTATATATATATATATATATATAATATATATATATATATATATATATATAATATATAATATATAATGCCCTTTATCCTAGGAATTTGTATAGTTACAAACTTCCTTGACTGTCTCTTATATTTTTCATTGACCTGATGGCCACAACGACGATGGAAGATCGTCGAAAACCTCAAATTAGAATCTGATCCGCTAAAAGCAGCAATATTTTGTTCTCGATAGTAAAAGGGGAACATATTTACTTAGCGTGTGTACACGAAGAAAGAAATTAGAGGCAATTTAACTGTGAAGGAAACAAAAGGCAGAGTACAGACCCGTCCAACATGGCGGAGGGCGGGAAGGTCGGGTCCTGGCTGCTGGCGTAGACCACCTTGGCGTCCACCATATCTGTGTCGTCTACACTGTGACCCGAGGAACACCCGCAGTACCTGAGCCATCAACATTATACACTGTTACTGTATATAATGTACTGTTCGTCTAGGGTGCAGACTTGGTGGAATGGTGGGGGGAAGGGGGGGGGGTCACACAAGCGCTAGGAGTGGTGATCTGTGGTACACACTTGTGAGGGGAGAGACTCACACTAGCTGTGGGCAACACAGCCACTCCAGTCACTAACTCCAAGTGAAGTATAAATGCAATAGATAACTACTAATCATATCAAATATTGAAAGTGCGAAGGATAGATATTTAAAGCTGAAAATTCTGTCTAAATCAGTTTTAGACCATTGTTAGTTACCATCCAAATTACCTTAGTGTTCACTGAACATTGAACATATATAGTCATCATTCACCAGAACGAAGGTCCAAGTCACTCCATTGCCCCAAAATTATTCTCATCAATATATCACGCAATTATGATTTCTTTGTGATATAGGCATCATAGTCACTGTTCATTCCATTAAATAGTGCTCTCAAGAATTCCTCGTTTTTAAGGAAGATCAACGCAAAGCTTCACAACTGCACAGGTCGGATACACTTAGGAAAGAGTGCTTATCCTTGGCCTGCGTAAATGAATGAATTGGTTCTAATTTATACACTGCAAATAATCCCTAATCCTACAAGGCATCAAAGAAAATCCATTTAGATCCGACGTGAAGATTTGACCAAACTTTGACTTTTAGCACTATTAAAGGTAGTACAGTCAGATTCGGTCTCGATTCACAATTGAGAATTCAGGGTTCGAATCCCGGGCGGAGCAGAAATAAGAACATAAAAACATAAGAATAAAGGTAACTGCAGATAACTTATTGGCCCATACGAGGCAGCTCCTATTTATAACCACCCAATCCCACTTATATACATGTCTAACTCACGTTTGAAACAATCAAGGGACCCCCACCTCCACCACGTTACACGGTGGGCCTTTATCTTTTTAATTAGTCTTTCAAGTGACTCTGTATGAAAAACTTTGCTAAAGTCAAGGTACACAACATCTCAAACCTTATCACTATCAACTGCCTCAACTATGCTGGAATAAAATGATAGCAAATGTGTTAAACATGAACGGCCATTTGTAAAACCATGTTGTGAATCATTTAATGTTTTTCAAGATGAAGACGAATGATATTTGCAATTATCGATTCAAGTAACTTTCCCACAATAGACGTTAGGCTAATTGGCCGATGGCTGGGCGCGTTTCGTATCATTTAATGCCCCTGTCCACCTAGCAGTAAGTAGGTACGCAGAAGTTAGTCAACTTGTTGTGGAGTAGCATCCTGGAGTGGGTAATTCAACCCTAGGGGGCGGGGGACCTTGATATAAGCCTAACATATATTGTATGTATATGCTAACTGCCTGTCCCCCGACACAATGAATTATTATTATTATTTTCACAGAAAATCACACTAACGTTATATATATCAACGAGAAAACCCAGCGGGGCCGGAGGTGAGGAGAACTCGCGACAAGGCATTGCCAGCCGCATACTCTACCACTGTACCACCATAACTTGTCAAACATACAACAGAACAACACACTAACGTTAGTGTGATTTGTTAGTGTGCAGCTATGCTAATTATTTTTTTATGTTAAGGTACCTTGATATAGATTTGGTTGGTCTAGTATACCTATAGATATAAATGGTGTCTCTTATGAGCCTGTAGCTAGACACTGTCTCCTGGTGTGCCTTAGGGTACCTGGAGACTGAAGTGGTGCCTCTTACAGTACCTGGAGTGCCTGGCACGGTAGGAGAGGCTAGTAGCAGTGTGGGCGCGAGAAGAGGTCCTCTGGAGGCGTGTGAAGCAGGAGGCACTGTGCTTGAGGGCCTCGTCTAGCCGTGGTGAGAGGGGTGGTGACTCTGGGATGGGAGACTCTGGAGACTCGAGGAGCGCTGTGCAGCTCTCCCCACCACTATAGCTGCTGAGGGAAGCACCTGTCCCCACAACCAACAATGTTAGTTACCTTGAGCCCTTAAATAATAGTACAGAGTTCTAGTGCTATGGTCCATGTTGACATATATGGCAGTCCCTGCCAACCCGTCCTCGACTCAAGTCCATTACATCCAGCGGTCAACCCCACAGACGCATTCATAAATTTTAACATGCTGTTCATTCAAAACGGGAATTTTCTCAAGTATAAATTAATATTATAATATATTAGCATATTGTGTATAAATAGGCATAGGTTAGGTTAGGTCAGGTGTTTAGGTTCTGTTGGCGATTATTTGTATTTGTAGTACGTGGGTGAAGCATTTATAGCGTTGTGATTCGAACAAAATTCGTCAGTGAAGCACTTGTTCCGGATATGTTCGAACGTCAGCAGTTGTGAGTCGTGTGTAAACCGCTTTTCATTCATAAACAGGGGGTTTGGCGGCTGCATGGAATCACTTTTGGATCTTTGTTTGGAGGACGGGCTGCTGTCCCTTAATATATTTGGGCGCTCCAGTGAGACCTCAACACTCCGCCATTCTCTGGTTCACATGCACTAGGATGAGATCTTTAAATTTAATGGGTAACCTAATCTCGATATGTAATTATGCAGTTGTCGTTAAGCCTTTGGAATAAACGATCATATCACATTAAATATTGACTAAATTTAATTGTACAAAGAATGTTTTAGAAGAAATATCCCCTGGTCTGTGTATATTCTCATAGCGCCACACCTGCTGGTCTCTACACTCACACAAGGCTACACTTTCTGGTCTGTACACTCACACAAGGCTACACTTTCTGGTCTGTACACTCACACAAGGCTACACTTTCTGGTCTGTACACTCACACAAGGCTACACTCTGGTCTCTACACTCACACAAGGCTACACTTTCTGGTCTCTACACTCACACAAGGCTACACTTTCTGGTCTCTACACTCACACAAGGCTACACTCTCTGGTCTCTACACTCACACAAGGCTACACTTTCTGGTCTCTACACTCACACAAGGCTACACTTTCTGGTCTTTATACTCACACAGGGCTACACTTTCTGGTCTCTACACACACACACACACACAGCGCCACACCTGCTGGTCTCTACACACACAGCGCCACACCTGCTGGTCTTTTCTCTTGCTTACTGAGACCGCCTGTTGATTACGTAACTGCCCAACCAACATGGACATTTCTCTATCAGACGCTTGTCAATTCGTCGCAGTCTGATGTCAGTAGATGAAGGGGAATATAGAGCGGATAAAGCAAGAAATATATAAACAGAAAGACAACTAATCTGGACTCAACGGCACCTGAGAAGGTAGTGATGAGTGAATCCTCTTTCTGCTTAAACTTGTTCCTCTCCTCCTCCTCTTCTTCCTCCTCTTCTGGGGGTGTCCCTAGGTAAGAGAGACTGCTGACTGGTCGGGCAGATGAGCGTAGACAACTGACTGGGCGGGTAGCTGAGCTAAGATGGCTGGCGGAGCGGGGCGCAGGACCCAGGTGGAGGCTGAGGCTACTCCTGCAGGCATAATAATAATAATAATAATAATAATAATAATTTATTTAGAAACAGTACATACATAGTTGCAGCGTTACAGTACAAGCATTCTGTTAGATTTAAAGATAGAGGTAGTACATACAATACCTAAAGCCACTAGTACGCATAGCGTTTCGGGCAAAAGCACCCACATTGCGAAACAAAAACACTTTACCCTGGAATTTTGTTATTGATATGTACTTTAAAACACATAGGAGAATTTTAATGTCTGAAAAAAATCCTTACTCTTTAACATTTAAAATAAATCTCCTATAGTGGACAAAAAATATTATACTTAAATCTTTTGTATGTCTCCTAAATCTAAGATTTATGGTAAAGTGGGAAATGAAAATTATATTGAGGCTTTACCGAGTTCTACTTGAACTCTACAAATGGTCAGAAGACTGCCAAATGTTTTTTTAATCCAAAAATGCAAGACCTTGCATGTGGGGGTATAGCAATGCCCCCAGTGCTATGCCTACAAGCCCCAAGTCAACATTATTTTGCAGCAGATTGAAAAAAACTGCAGTCAGAATCTACCAATCTCTTAAAGTTGCAGAGCAAATGGGAGCTGCATAAAAAAAACAGTCAATCAAACCCTGGAAATATTCAAACGAAACTTTGACTTTAGGAAAAAAAAAGGTAGCCTATTCAACTGTATAGAATCCATATCTTTAGCTTTGATGTCCAAAGGGTTTGGAAAGGATGGGGGAGGTAGAGGGATGGGGAGGTGAAATTCTGGAAGAGGATGTGGGTATAGAGAGAGAGGAGGTTTGAAAGTTCGGTGGCCTATCCACCATGGGTTGGCGTATGTGTGTCGTTTGTTTGGGTGTGTGGTATGTTGGGTTGTCAGTACATTGGCTGGGTGGCTAGTGTTTGTATCCTAGCTGGTGTCTGGAAACCATAGAGCCGATGGAGTTGGCTGCAGGAGATTAATCTTAGCAACATCAGGGTGGTTACTCTTCTGGTAGCACATAACAAATTTATATACCAAATCCAAATCTCTCTCTCTCTTGGATTATTGTACCCAAGCATGAAGATCTCATCTGCAGAAAAACATACCTGCTTTAGAGGAAGTTCAACACCGGGCGACAAAAATCATTCCTGAACTAAGTTAACTCTCACCAGGAACGGTTGAGGGGCTTCAGGGCTAACAACACTGATAACCAGACATGACGGGGCTGATCTCATTGAAAATGTAAAATTACTAAACAATTTGGAAGACATACATCCTGATCACTTCTTTAAAAGGTCAGGTGTAACACAAATAAGAAACAACAGCTTAAAACTCATGGTCATAATATAGGACAAAACAGGAAATGCCAAAACAATGCTGCAATTCAAGATAAACGAAGGGGAGGACTTTTAAAAAGCCGCCGGCTACTTGTCTTCATCGAGGCCACTAGAGAAACAGTAGCCCCCCAGGTAAAACAAAACTGTACAGAAAAGAAATTTCAGACTTCATAAAAATCATAGGGAGTTCATTGTTGAAGGCGTTATTTCTTAAAGGAAGGCAATGTAGACGGCCCAGCCTAGCCTACAATACAAGGCACACGTGCAGTCTTGAAATGCAGAATGCCAGCCGCAAGCATCTGGCCACCTAACCTTGGACCGACAGAAATTATGTTTTTACATATACAGATTAATATTCTTACATAATTAGCGAAAATAGATAGAGGCTGTATATAAATAAATAAAATAGAGGGAGAGAGAGAAAAGGGGGGGGGGAGAGCAGTACCTGGAGGTGACGATTGGGGTGCCCGGCCGAGGGGTGTGCGGCGCGTGGCTCGAGGTTCCTACTGACGGTGGATCCAGGAGGCGGGCTACAGCGGTCAGCCTGGAGCAGGTGGTGGTGGTCAGGGTGCGGAACACGAGGTCAAGTCTGAAGCGTACGGGGTCAGCTGAGAGAGGCAGTGTCGGAGCAAGCTAAGCAAGAGTAACCGCGGGATGATCAAGCATGCCGGGACATGTAGGGTTAGTAGTGATTAGGTTAGGACAAACAGGGTCAGACAAGCAGGAAGGAGGCATACAGGGTCAGAGAAGAATAGATAAGGTCAGACCGGGAAAGACAGGGTAGGGACGGAGCCAAACAACAGTCAAGTTGGCTAAGAAAGGTCGGGCAAAGGAGCAGGTTATTAAGCAGAGTAAGTCTAGGTAGACTACAACTACAGCAGGGAGAAGAGGCAAGGCGGATCAGATAAGTTTCAACTACAGCAGGGAGAGGAGGTAGGGCGGGTCAGGTAGGCTCCGGCTACAGCAGGGAGAGAAGACAGGGCGAACCAGGTAGGCTCCAGCTACAGCAGGGAGAGGAAGCAGGACGGGTCAGGTAGGCTCCAGCTACAGCAGGGAAAGGAAGCAGGTAGGGCAGCAGAGGTTAACCTGGGACACAGTCCTCATCCAGGTCTCACATCCAGGAAGCTAAGAAAAGCAAAGACGTAATATGCATTAATTCAACATACGCTACATGAGCATTAAACAAATCAGAAATAAATAACAAATACTTGTATCATAGTAACCATTATTTCTGTATACAGTCATCAACATTTCGAGGTTCAAGAGCGTTACAATGTTACCTGTGATAATGAGGCGTCTGTCCTCGGGGGAGATGAGGCACGGGATGAAAGCGATCTAGTCCGACATTAGACAGCTATATATATATATCAATTTCTTTGTGTGAAAATGCCACCCATCACTTCCTTCTCAGTCCCACCGTCGTGTCCGTCTGGATTCAGGTGCCATTCACAAAGCTAAAAATAGTAGTTCAATATAATATCGTCCAATTTTAGTACAAGAAAAGTAAAAATGCTCTGAAAATGTTATGGCAGGTCTTGCTTTCGTCAACAAGAGTTATCATTTTCTATAATGAATATCCAAGCCTTATATATGAATGAACGTCATCAGACAGCATTCATTACTCCTACTTCTGCAGCCCCGAGTCAAATGATTATGTATAGTTATATATTATTCACCTAATTAGTAAATCTAGAGAAGAGCAGAGTAAAGAAACTCACATTAGCATTATTAATTCGCAATGTTAAAAAATACTGCTTTTGCACTTTGGTTAATTAAACTGAAATTTAGATTGGTTTACACCGAGAAGTGTACCCAACCTTCTCGGTGTATTTACATTGAGAGTTTGCCTTTATCATGTACTATGTTCAGGGTTAAAGTGTTCTTGCTTTTTTATCAGTAGGATAGTGTGACGGCCTCGATAAACCTCCTGTGGTTGATAAGCCTTAAGTCTAACAACAAACTAAACTGTATTAAGGCACGGGATATATACAGACACGAGTTATATTTCACCTTTTAGTGTATATGGTATGCACAGGGCTTACTTGAGGCTTGAATTATATCCTGGACTAAAATATACTTGCTGCTTGATTAGTGAGATTTTGTATTCATCTAGTTGTGCATGCGGGGTGCTTTACATTCTTGTAAAAGTCAGGTTCCTACAAAATATAGGAACACAGGGACAACACTGCCCACTAACACGCATAGCGTTTCGGGCAGATCATTAATCTAACAGATAATTTTAAGTAGGTAATTTGTAGGAAAATTAAAAATGTTAACAGGTACATTCTAAGAAAATTTAAAGAAAATTAGTAGGTATATTATAGTAAAATTTGAGGATTATCAACAGGTATATTGTAGTATAATTTGAGGCTTATTTCTAGATACATTATAGTAAAATTTGCGATCAACATTAAAACCATGATATAAGATGATGGTAGTGATTACAACGGTGAAGTTGGATGGCTTAGGCATATATTTTGGGGGAGTGGGTAGCACGAGATACTGGGTAGCCTTATGGGGAGTGGGCATAGCCTCATGTAGTTAACTGTGACACAACAATAACTATAATTGTAACAGAGTGCATATACGGCCACCGGATGGTCGTTGTAGCTTACTAAACTCACTAAAATATGTTAGTGCCAACTTTATTTTGTCTGTGGCAATGCACTCTTTTATTTTATTTGCCTTTACAAACACACACAGTTGAGTTAAAAAACAGACTTCTGAAACATGGTAAACCTTACCCATTAGTTTTTCCTGGAACACAAGCTGATCGGTTTACAACCAGGTACACAATTACAGCAACCCGTCCTCAGACCAAGTCTATTCCACCAGCGATCAACCCCAAAGACGCATTCATCAGTTTTAACATGCTCTTCATTCAAAATATTAATTTTCTCAAATATAAATGAATATTGTTTATATATTAGCATACTGTGCATATTTAGGCCTGGGATAGGTTAGGTTAGGTGTTTAGGTTCTGTTGGCGATTACTTGTATGTGTAGTATGTGGATGAAGCCTTTACAGCGTTGTGGTTCGAACAAAAGTCGTCGGCGAAGCACTTGTTCGAGAAGTGTTTGAACGTCATCAGTTGTGAGTCGTGTGTAAACCGTTTTTCATTCATAAACAGGGGGTTTGGAGGATGTATGGAATGGATTTTGGCCTTTGTTTATGAGGGCGGGCTGATTACAGCTGAGCGAAGAGAACAATCAAGAATTGGTGGTTAGTCAAACTTCCTTAACAAGCAATTCCCTTGCAGGACGAATGTGTTACCATTGTGCCACTAAGAGCTGCTCCTATTATTGCTATTAAATACTCTATGTATAGTAACACTTCTCATTTATTTAACTCATGTTGACCACCAAAAATATAACTTAAAAAATGGGCTTCCTCTATTAATTAATTCAATCAGCTTTTATAATATTAAACATTAGCTTAAGATTTATTTAAACCAATCTAAATCTGCATATAATCTATGTTTTACATTTATTATGCACTTCCTACCCCATATCCTGTGGGTGGTGATGGTACGTATGCTGCACCATACCCATCGTGTGAATAGTGGTGAGAGGTATAATGCTCCACCATACTTATCCTGGCTGTGGGTGGTGGTGGTGGATCGTATAATGCTCCACTATACCCATCCACTGAGTAGTTTGTATTTACAACGACCCCCCTATGGGGTCATTGGTGTTTACTGGAGGGGGGGGAGGGGAATGGATATCTTTGAATTCCTTATCATGTAAGCTTTAGGTTAAGCCTTTAAAATGTAATGTTAATAGAGTCAACGAGTTAAATGTAAACAGTAAAAATGGTTGCTCTACGTCCTTTGAAACCCAAAAATAAGTGCCTTTTTTGGTTTCTTCACTTTAGTAATATATATTAAAGATATCTTTGATTATAATGGAAAGTTTTATGCTCAGAAGGGACTAAAGAAAATAATCAACACGGAATATGCACTCTCATTATATATATTATAAAAGAAACATAAGAAAGATCGAGAAAATTCGTGTTAGAATTATTAATCTTACTTTTTCGGTCATATTTAATAATATATGTCTACAGGAAAGACTGCTACCAATATATATATATATATATATATATATATATATATATATATATATATATATATATATATATATATATATATATATATATATATATATATATATATATATATATATTAAACAGGAATTTCCTTGAGTACTTTCGTATAATAATACATCTCCAGAAGGAGTGAAGATGTATTAATATATGAAAGTACTTAAGGAAATTCCTGATTCAATTTTCCTCCGTGGTCTGACACTGTCACATTTTTAATCACGTGTTTATTTTTCGTGATTTACACACACACACACACACACACACACACACACACACACACACACACACACACACACACACACACACACACACACACACACACACACGCACACACACAGGAAGCAGCCCGTAACGGCTGTCTAACTCCCAGGTACCTATTTACTGCTTGGTAACAGGGGCATCAGGGTGAAAAAAGTGTGTGTGTGTGTGTGTGTGTGTGTGTGTGTGTGTGTGTGTGTGTGTGTGTGTGTGTGTGTGTGTGTGTGTGTGTGTGTGTGTGTGTTTGTGTGTGTGTGTTGTTCCATCTTAGTGGATAATGAGTGTGGGTTCGTGAGTATTGGATGTGCGTGAGATTTGGCAATATACACTTAAATAAATTACCTGCCTGTCACGGTAATTTTCAGGTTACTTGAGGGTAGAGTGTAGCGTAATGTGGAGCGTCCGGGTGGGAGGTGTGCCTGGTGGTGGTGCTCGGTCTCCTTATTGTGGAGTAATCAATATGTTGTATTGAGGACGGACACACACACACTGAGTGTGTGGAGAAATGGAAGTGAAAGTAGTGGAAAAATGGAATACACTTCCAGCAGGTTGTGGAAGCAAATTCTATTCTTAATTTTAAAACTAGGTATGATAGGGAAATAGGACCAGAGTCATTGCTGTAAACAACCGATGGCCCGAAAGGCGGGATCCTCAAAAGCCCACCAAAGAGCCAGGGCTCAACCCTCGCAAGCACAACTAGGTAAGTACACAGCCACACATCAGCTCTGCCCCTCTCTGGATCACTACACCAAAGAAACTTTTAATAAATGAGACAGGAAACAAGATTTCTAGGAGGATCAAGATGTAGTACACTGATGCAAATGAAATCAAATGCAAATGAGGTAAGGAGAGTGAATTGAAAAGGAGATTTGTTTAAACAGACCAGTGTATAATGGCAATGGAGGATATTAAAGTTGCAGAAATTAGCTTTGATGTGGTGTTCCCCAGGTAACCGGATAATTTTTAAGGGAAGAAATCAGATAAACTGAAAGAAATTGTCATTTGAATTAGAAGATAAGGATTTTTTTTAGAAACTAATGCTGTAGATATGAATTAATTTTCATAGTGGTGGTGATTCTCTACAACTTTCTTGTGAACTTCAGAAGGCCTAGACAGGAATAAGAAGAAAATATCAGGGCACGTTTGGACTTTATTCAATAAACAGCAGAAATGACTAACAGGGTAAGGACAATAGGTCCTTATCATAGGAAACTTCAATCATGAAGATATCCTCTTTAGGCATCGAGAAACCCCCATTTAGCAACTGAG